AACATCCAAACCTGTAAAGAATTAAAAAAAAAAAAATTCCGACCCAAGTACATTTTTTCCATTGCTTTTAGAAAGAGAGGGAGGGAGCGGGAGAGAGAAACATTGATTGGTTGCCTTCTTGTCCATGCCCTGACTAGGGATCAAACCTGCAACCTCTTGGTAATACAGAATGATGCTACAAGCAACTGAATCACGCTTGCCAAGGCCAAACCTGTAAAGAATTTTTGTGAGACTTTATTTGAGCCAAAATGATGACATGGACAGGAAGCAATATCTCAATGCTCCAGAGAGTAACAGTTTTGTGTTTCTTCTATGTACTTGAAATTAAGGAGGGAACACAGGAAGATTACGTGATGGTGGGAGAATGCAAGGTAGGCATTGGATTACAGGATAACATGATGTGCTCTCTGAGGGTGGTGACGTTTATATCAAAGGTGTGTTAACCTAGATCCACAAGAACAATGGACAGGACAGTGTAAGGCAGGGATAAGCGTTATACTAAAAAATTTGTATGTCTGGGGCATGACTATGCACCATCATCTGCTTAGGTAAAAATTTATGGTCAGATCACCCTGTGAGTTTACTTTCTGTAGAATCCTTTTTTAATTCACAGTATTAACCTTTACCAGTGATATTTACACTTTCATGTTTTCTTGTTACTAATTAATGCTCTCTTGTTTCACCTTGAAGAAGTCTCTTAGCATCTTTTATAAGGCTAATCTAATGGAGGTGAACTCCTTTAGCTTTTGCTTGTCTGAAAAACTTTCTCCTTTAATTCTGAAGAATTTTTAATTGCAGTTTTTCCTTTTCATACAGGCTCCCTTCAGCTGAAAATCTACTTGTAGTCTCATGGGGGGGTTCCCTTGTACATAACAGGTTGTCTTTTTCTTGCTGAATTTAGGATTCTTTCCTTGTCTTTAACCTCTGACAATTTAATTATGTCTTTTTGTTTTAGTTTCATCTTGGTTGGAACTCCATGGACTTCTTTGCTCTAGATGTTTTTCTTTTTCCAGGTTAGGGAGGGTTACGGTCATTACTTCTTCAAATAAGTGTATGTCCCTTTCTCTTTTCTGTGTGGGACCTGTATAATGCAAATATCATCTGCTTGATAGTGTTCCATAAACTCGCTTCACTTTTTTTCCCCATTCCTTTTGTTTGCCACTCTGATTGGATGAATTCCTCTGCCAAGTCTCTGAGTTCACTAATCCTTTTTTTCCTGCTTCATCTAGTTGGTTATTGGGCCCTCTATTTATTGGCTTTTTCAGTTCAGTTGTATTCTTCAGCTCTGTGTTAATATGTTCTTAGAATTTCTATCACTGTGAGAAATTTTTACTTTGCTCATGCACTGAGACCTGATCTCAGTGAGCATCTCTAGGACCACGGACTTTTTCTGAGTTTTATCTTTTTAAAAAATTTTATTTTTATTTGGTACACCTGATTCTTTTTTCTTGACTGTGTTGGTTTCTATGGATTAGATAAAACAGCCATTTCCCTCTCTTGAAGGAGTGGTGTAGGAGGTGAACTTTATTGTTCAATTCTACTATACTTCTTGGCTACCTCTGAAACCATTGTGATTGTCTGAGAAATGTCCTCTTCTTAATTGGCTCCTAGTAGTTGAGGGTATGCCAAAACCTGTCAATGTCCTGAAGGGGAGGACCTCAGTCAGCATTTAGATACAAGCTGATTGGAAGGCATACCCTTAGGTAGCAACTTTGAGAGTACGTAAATATACTGCTGTTGGAGGAAAAGTGGGAGATGGGTTTCTGTCTGTCCTCTTTGCACAGAACCCTGAGGGAATAAGATCTTTTTATTTGCTATAGTCCTGTGGGATCAGCACATGTAAATACCACTTGGTTATCAGGTAATCAAACCAGTGTGAGAGCCCCAAAAGCTGGGGTGCTAGATGTGTGCAAAACCTTTTCTGGAAAGTACAGCAACCTCAAGTGAGGCAGAGGGACAACACAAAATAGTGCTCTCCTCTGCGTTCCCTGGGAAGTACCTCAGTCTGCTTCTCGATCTGTTAAATTAGAAGCCAAATCCTCAAGCTGAAGCCTTTAAGATCGCAAATAGGCCTCACACAGAAACACTGGGTGCATTTCAGGGCGCTGCCTTTGGGCGGGGTGCGGGGGTTGGGTAAGCCAGGGTGAGTCAATGTAAGCACAGTAAGAATTGTTTCTTAGTTTGCTATAAAAACCCTGTTGGTCTCATGGACACATCCCAATGCCTTTCAAAGCTGGATGTTTTACGCGCTTGCCTCTCAGGTCGAACTCTTTAATACTTGGGACACTACCAGATGTGAGGTCCAAAACTTTGGCTCCTCTAAGAAATTGGAAGCCGAGTTTTGTTCTAGTTGTGTCATTGCACCAGAGGTGGGGGCTAATACCATACGTCTGTCTCTCCTACCCATTTCACTGTGGGGCTTTTCTTGTTCACTTGATGTGTAGTGGTCAGTCAGCTTGTTTCTGGATTTCTTTGAGAGCTGTTCTGTACATGGCTATAGATTTTTTGTGTTCATGAGGGGAGGTGAGTTCAGGAACCTCCTATGTTGCTATTTTGTACTGAAAACTATTCATTCTTTAACCCGCCCCCCCCTACTCCCCTTTTTAACTCCTCAAATAAAATGCCTGGAATAGCAGTTGTTTAATGAAGAGTTCTCTATCAGTAGTTAATTAACATGGAATTTTTTTTTTTTTTTTTTTTTGGTGGACATTAGCACAGCCCTTTTTGAATGACTACTAAATACCAGAACAGCAGGCTACTAAATAATACAGTCCTGGATTCATCATTGCTATGAGCCAGTTTGGCATCAGCCTCAACCATACTTTGGTTAATTACCACTCGCTAAATATATCTAATAAAGGGGTTGGTTGAGAGATGAGTGCAAATCCACTCAACATAAAAAAAAAATGACTTGAGCCAGTGATTACAAAATACTTTTATATATGATCAGTAATACATTTATACTTAGCTTGGTGGTGACCTAAATTTTGTCATTACTCATTTTGAAAATGAGTATATTTAAGTTTTGGTCTATAAGTAAAGTATATACTACTAGAAATATTATTTCCTTCTCATCTTCAGAATTTTATCCTTTTGGTGTTACAGAAAATTTAATATGCATTTGTTAGTCCAACCTTTGTATTTTTTAACTATCATGATGAACTATAGATATAATTGAAGACACTTATCTCACTGGTACATATAAGGATTAAAAGTAGACTAATTATTGTACTAATGTTCTGTTAAAATGGTTTGAAAAAATACTTCATTAAAAACTTTCTCATACTAAGTAGCTCTGTAAGTGTGTCTGATAGGAAACAATGTAGTAACTCTTGTCTGATGAATGCACTTTAAAGAAAATTTGTTCTCTGAATACTGTTGGAAAACAAAAAAAAAATTAAAGGAAACTTTTACAATATGTCATTATATAATAATTATTTCATTTTATTTTTCCTTTATCTTAATTGTATAATTTAAGTAAAAAAGATAGGAAAGATGTTCAATAAAAACTGGGAACTGAGATAGGCAAGCATCATTAGTGCCAAAAACAGAAATTCCAAATGGTTTCACAAAGCCACATATTTAAATGCATCTCTTTTCAAATCCAGCTGCCTGACAACATGCACTCCGCTCTGCTGGACTGTCCCCTCTTACCTGAGGCCACTGCACACAAAACGGTGCCGCTGAGACATGGTGCTCTCTGTGACGTGGCACTACTGTGGCCATTCAAACCTTTAATTGTCAGCTGTTTTTTAATTACCCAATGACACTGATATGATTGAAGAAAATAGCCTCCTGATATATATTACTAATACGATACATATTATTTAACATGACTCCCAGATGGCGCTGGCTTCAGAGCTGATTCCACAGGTAAATACTTAGGCCAAATTAACAGGATATATAATTTTACTACTTTATGTACTGCTTAAGATGTTTTTCAATTAAATTTGGAATTATAGGTAGTAGTCTGCAGTTACTTATACACTTGTTTATGGAGTCAGTGTCAGACCTGTGAGTTACATAAACTTGGGAGATGGGGCCGACGCCTTCAATCCCATCTGTACTCTCCTCAGAATCCAGCACACTGGCATTCATGTAACCGGGACAGTAATTCAGTCAATATTTACCAGGATTTCCTTAGGCATTCCATTTCAGGATTCTTGTAGAAATAAGCTAATTTAAAGAATTTTCTAAGCTTTGAAAATTTAATAAATAAAAGGCACTTGCCATTGCTGATCATAATTCAATAAGATTAAATTAAGGCTTAAAGTGGCGATTGTTCTATATGTGCCGACATGTGTAAAATGAAATCTAAGATAAGGAGTTAAGAAATACACTAAAAACAATATGGGAGAGACTATAAAGAACAGAGTTACACTTGAAAATAAAAAAGTCAATTACTTTTTCTATAAACTGCAGCTGTAAAATATAAGGAAATATTGGGGAAGGAGGTAAAGTGGTATTAAAAATATAAACAAAACTCTTCCAATATAATAAAGCATAATCCTAATAGGTTTTTGGGAAAAGTGAATATTTTTTTTAATTCACTGACCTCTTTAGATATATTGGGGTTTTTACCACCCCATACACCCTGAATTATATCTAACAATGTTTTCTTAAAAGGCAAGGAAACAATATTTGGATTGAGTCTGAACAACTGAGAAACTAAAAGGTCCCATCCTTAGATTTATATACTTAATTTTCTTAGAAAAATAACTTGTTATTATGCCAATATTTATCTGAACATGGCAGCCTCCAAGAGTAAATTAATAATTGGAATGACTGCAGTATCATCATGAATTAGAGTGAAACAAAACTGCAAAGTTATTTTTCCTATGTGAATAATGAAGAGATTAGACAAGAGTAAAAAACAACTATGAACAGAAAGGCAAATGTAAACAAAGGATATACATCAAAACAGTCCAGAAAGCAAAAACATAAATATTAGAAAGATGCTTCAAAAGTTGTTTACTATCACAAGGAAAACTTTTACGAAAAATACTTAGAAAATAAATTAAGACATATTTTTAAAATAATAGAAATCTAAATACTTGCTATATTTGGGATAGGCTAGAGTCCTGTTAATTGCTATACGTATTTTTTCCCCGCAGATATTTACGAATGTTGTAGAAATCTATAGAATGTTCATTTACTTTAAAACATTTCTTTCTTAATTGTGAAAAATTAAAATCAATTACTCAGCCTTTAAGTAAAGAAAGAAAATGAAGAATCTCTTCACTATAATACATCATGAAAACAGGATATCTGTTTATTTTGCCACATCATTTTTAAATGAAATACGTGATTAGAAAATCAATTTTAAAGAATCTTTAGAAGAATGGATGACCTAAAACCAAGTTCCCCCCTTTCAGGTGAGCCACAGCACTTTAAGTGACCTAGTTCATATTGTACAGCTTAGACATGTGCGTATGTACCAGCAGAGTAGGCTCATGTTCAAGCCAGCCAGCCCAAACATCATTTCCAGTAGTCAGCAACGTATGGCCCGTGGACCGAATGTGGCTTGTGGCCTATTATTCAATGGCCCTCAGCTAAGAATGGTTTTTACATTTTTCAAAGGATTGTAAACAAAACAAACAAACAAAACAAAACAACTGTATGTGAACAAGAACTGCATATGGTCTACAAAGCCTAAAACATTTATGATTTGACCCTCTGTAGAAAAAACTTGCAGACCCTTCATTCATACCAATGTTGTATAGAATTTAGATGGTGTAATTACACGTTCAATATAATGTTCTTCTATTTCCACCACGAATGTAGTAACAGTCTAAAAAGGTGTATTCTGATGTCACTTGTCAGAATCTTTTCAATTTTTTCTTCATCTTCAGTATCACTAAAGCTCATCCTTTAATAATAATGTAAAAGTAATTGAAAGAGAAAAGAAGCATGAGTTTATAATATTAAAACAAGGTAATACACAATAATATAAACTAACCAAAATTTTACCTTCTCAAAAACCATTACTTTATATTCGTACATAACGGATCCGTACATAAAAAATGTACCTCGCCTACTTATAACAATGTTAGACAAGGGTATATATCAGATAGTTCTTACCTGCCCATGGCAAATACTACCAATTATAGCTTTACACTTTCAAAGTTGTATCTTGATGTGCTCTTTAACTTAATTTCAGTTAAGATATTCTGATTTATGAGTAACAGTGTTATCTATTTCAAATGTTTAACTTGAGATAAAAGTCACAATTTAAAAAATGAGTTGAAAAAACAAAGCTTAACTATTGAAAAAACTTTTTGTTTACGGAAACCAAGAAAATAAAGATTCATAATCATCTTCTCCCTAACTGTTAGATAAAATGTACTTCTGGAAGCTGGCTTTCAGCTTTCTCTATTGGGGCCTGTAGTTCTAATGATCCTGTAGAGCTGGACCTCTCAGCCCCTCCCAGGGGTTGTGCTGTCCTTCTGTCCTTTCACCTTACACGAAAAGAATCCAAGAAACCTCATAGGGGGTTGTATTAAATTTCATTCAGAAAGCACGCCAGCATTCACGGACTTTTTGGTCTAAGTCTGTCCTAGAATGACAGCGATTTTAAGAAAAAATAAACAACCTTTCCAAAGAAGAGCAGGAAAAAGTTTGCACTGCTTGATAGGTTAAAAATTTAAGGAGAGGCCAAGATGAATATGGGTTCCAATATGTCCTCACCATACCAAGAACAAAAGATTACTTGCTATCTAATTGTGTCAAGAGGCTCCAGAATATTCCTATGAAGTCCATGCTTTTTTTAAAAATAAAATTTAAATAATTTCTGGCCATAGTCATTATTTGTTAAATGGTTTTACTTGTCAAAAATTTCTAAGTATTTCAGTGTGCAGAGGCTACCTCTGATTCTCATATTTTCCAAAGAAGACATTTCCAACTACTTACTATTTTTTGAAGCTTCATTTTACCTGTGTATTGATACATATAAAGTATACGAAGAATAAGTTTAGGTAATGTTTGCCAAAGTCAGCTCTAGACTCGGTCCTTACCTTATCTCTCTTTGCATGTTTTTGGAGATTTTCCAATTTTTCATGTATTAAGTTAGTGATCTCTTTTGCATCTCTGGAATCTATTTGCTCTCCCCAAATATTCCTCTAAAATTAAAAACACTTTTCTTACAATCTTTTAAGTATCTAATTAAAACATGACATTTCCATCTAAGAAACTTGATTAAACAGTCCTTAAAGTTCCAAGTGTTGGAAATTCAAATTTCTTCAAGGAAATAACACTACAAAAGCACAGTTAACCCTTATTTACGTGAAATAAATACTAATGATGCTGTTATGGGAACATGTAAACCAATTCCTTGGAAAAATGCTTGCTAACTCCAAATGCCTCAAAACATCTAAATTGTGTAAGAAAAGATATGCCCAGAGGACTCAAATAATTCTAACCTGACGTAATCACTGGTGCAGACAAAACCACGATCAACTAGAGCAATGGAAAGCAATGTATATCCCTGGTTCTCATCTGCCCACTGCAGGACAGTGGCTAAAAAGCAGGGGAGGGAACCCCACATTTGCATGTTAGGATTTTGTTTCTTTGTGTAACTGTCCACTTTGGTTTGTATTTGTTTATTCCCATCATTACTTTGCTTTGGAGTTCTCATCTGGCCTGGACTCTAGATGCCACCTATCTTTCAGTTCGGACCAGGACATTCTGGGTCCTAGTCTGTCCTCTGGGTTTCTCTAGACACGTAGTAACATCTTTTCAAAGAGCTCCCTCTATGGCCTGATCATTTCTGTGACTGCTCGTTATATCGATATTTCCTCAACATCATTTAACACCAAAGAACCCCTATTCATGTCACCGATTTCTCAGCTGTTCTGAGAACTGGGAAGTAGAGCTAGTAATTTGGAAGAGATGATGATTCAGGCCCAGGTATCCTCTCTTCTCCCCTCAGGCGATGCCTGCCCTAGGCTGCTCTTAAGACACAGCAAGTCTCCTGGACTCATTAAAATCCTTCACCGAAAAATCTAGATGTCTGACAATTCTAGATTTCTGAAAATCATCATTTAATTTCTTTATTGAGCTCTATGTCAAAATGTATTATAATTACCAATAACTAACATGAGATCTTAATCTGATACACTTTCTCAAAAAGTATATAGGAAAATATTCAAAATTATTTATTTCATGTTTTACCAGAAAATATGAATACAATACAAAGTAAATATATATTCTATTGTCAAAAATGCCATTGTTTTACTTGGGAAGACAGCAAAGGTCATGAATACTTTCAGTCAGCAATTACACTGGCTGACATATGCTTTTGTATTAGGAATCACAGAAATTATCACCTGAATTTTAAGACCTATTGGTAGATGTCTAGTTTCTTGTTGGGGGGAAAAAAAAAAATCATTGACCCAAAAGAGGAATTATGACTGGATCAAGGGACTCTAACTTTTATCTTGTAGTCTAAACCATTAATAAATATTAATGCTCAGGTGCTAAGGCTACTGCAAAAGTTCCATAGTATACTATCCTTTCTTGGAAAAAATAATTCATTATAAAGGTAGTATCTGTTAATTCTATAAAAGTAGGAAATATAAAACTTCATAGAAATTAAGTAATTACTTTGAATTCTATCACCCATAGAAAAACACTTTAATTTTGGTATGTCACTTAAATAATTTTCTTATTCGTGAGTATAAAAAATTTTAAGATAATGGAGAGCATATCAATTGTGGGGGAAAAAAACTTTTAAAATCACGTAGTGTATATGTAAAATGACCCTGTTTCAGTAATATGCAATAAAATAATGACAAAGGGAGAAGAAACTACAAAAAAGCATTACTCAGACTAAAAAAAAAATAAATAAAAAAAAAAAAATGTAAGTGCTTGCCCTGCTAAAGGAAAGGAACACAGAGGAAAAACTGGGACGTACCTTTGCTCTTTCGTAGGGATAAAACCTAACAGTTGGATAGGCTCTGATGCCAGCTTTCTGGCATATTTGAGCATGAGCCTGACAGTCTACTTTTCCAGCTTTCACTTTTCCTTTAATCATCTGAAAAAAGAAAAATATGGTTTACTGTTCTCTTTGGCATGAACTATTTTGGCAACCACAAAACAAGGTGATACTAAAATTTCAAATCTTTATAAACCTCAGGATTTGTTATTTAAACCTGAGTCCAGTCAAGGAAGATTGCTTCTGAATAAGATTGTTACCAAATTCTTACTGCCTCTTTACATTCCTATTTGTCCAGTACCACCTCTTCAAAAGCAAATAAACTCTCCTTTGCCTGACCAAGTAAGCTGAGAAGCTTCACTCTAAACTATCTCAACTTCTTCCTGGCAACCACCCCTTGCTTGTCACACAACAAAGATCTCTGGCTCTGTCTGCACTCATCTTGTGGAAGGCTGACCACTTCTGCTACACTCTCCAGTCCCTCCCTGTCAGATCTCTCCCTCTCGTCAGCATATACAAATACTATCAAGAAGGAGCCCTTCCTAACTTCCAGAAAAAGAAGTACCGGGACATGCAGATGAAGTGAAGCTTCTGGCTGTTAAGATTAGGTAGGTGATGTCATCATCTCTGTTGCTAAATATTTTAATAAAGAATAAAATCTACTGCGAAGATTGGAGTTACAAAAATGACACAGTTTTTAAAATTCAGAGGAAACGTTTAAGAGAAAAATATTTAAAATGTTTTAGCTAATTATGGAAACATTCATGTAACTACAAATTATTTTAGTAGCTAGACAAGACTTACCCTAGCCAAGAGCTCAAACTCTGGAGCAAAATTTTGGCAAGGACCACACCAAGGAGCATAGAAGTCAACCACCCAATGGTTTTTCCCTTGTAAAACTTTTTCATTGAAGGTCTGAGGTGTTAGATCTATGGACGCTTGAGGCAAAAATCTGTGGTGAGGAATTAATTTTCATTATACAAACCAAAGCAAACTTCTAAAATATAAAACTGCAAAGCTTTCTAAGTTAAAAATGATTTCAAAGAATGACAGTGTAAAACCACAACCTTATCTTGGTGAATTCTAATTTTTTACCAATTGCTTTAAAATGCTAGAATATTAAATTGCTCAGAGTAAATTTAAGTACAGACATAAGAGGAAGGTCAATCGCATTAAATCCATTTCATACAATCATATATATCTTAATTACTCACCCTAGACCCCAGATTCTCAGGGAATAGGCATCCCTATTCCAACCATTGTAACTACTGAAGAAAAAGAAAAACATGTAAGTTGTAAGTAGTATTTTTCATTATTGGCCATGTTCAGAAAATAATCTCATTGTAGCAATTTAAAAGATTTAGTCCAATGACTTTAGCATCTCTCTTCTCAGCTATAACTAGATACAAGCACTACTTCCATGGCTTCCCAATATATTTTTCCTTAATGTATTTTTGTGCTCCAGACGGACCTCAGTATCTGGCTGCTTGCTGGACATAGACAGACCCATGGGAATGACAAAACTCAAAAATTTCCAAGGCTTTAATTTCCGAACCTTTATTCTGGTTATAACTGTATGTAAAATTCCTCCCCACTTTTAAAAGCTGTATCAAAAGCCACCTCACGAATGCAGTATTTCATGATGCTTTTCTCATAGTTGTGATCCCTTACTTCTTTGAAATCCATGGCTTGTTTTTACTTTTAAAATATTCAATATAGAAATTCTGCCTTGCTTTTTTTTTTTTTTCCCTCCAGTTTTCTACCTGCAAAACCATGTGGTGTTATGGAAAAATGGGCACTTAGACCTGGTTCAAACCCCAACTTCAAACCATAGCGTCTGTGATCTACGGTCTTTGATATCTGTAATAATAAGGAGGGTAATAATTTTTGTTTCTTAGGGTATGTGTGAGGACTAGTGGAAATAATGTAAGAAAAGATCTGATAATAGCACCTGAAACTTAATTAGGGACCTAATAAATGTTAGTTCTTTCTCTTCTCATTTCTACCTTACCAGATTGTTAGTTTCATTAACATGCTATCTTAAACATGGAGCTCCCCCAAAACAATAGTTGTGTTAACTTTAAATGGATAACTTTTAAATTTTAATTGTATAAATAAGTGATTATAATAAATGTCTTCAAATTTTAGACAATACTTACTGATACTGATACCCTTTATTTGATTTTGGGGGAAAAAATCTTATCTCAGGGTATCTTTGAACATTTTCTTCAGTACAAAAAGAATGATACTGTTGGCAGTCTATGCTGCCCACATTGATCAGTCCAATTAATGTCTATAAAAGAAAAAAAAAAAAGAGGTCAAAGTGATAAGAATAAAATTGCCTACATAATTACTTTATATATATTCACAATAGAGAAACTGCCACTATGAGACGGCTATTATATTATTTATCAGTGATTTTCATCAAATAAAAATGAATAAGTGCTTATCATATAATAGAGCATAAATTGACATCTAATTTTATAGTTAACTTACTGCAATTATTGCATATTAAGTAATTGATTTCATTTATCTGTTACATAGGGAAAATAATTTATTCCTGAAATTCAAAGTATTAAAACCAAAAACTAAGGAAGATCTTGGCAATGCTATTTCAAAGAGTGGCTTTTTCAAATGGAGACATGGGCTGCGGGGAGCATACTGACTCATACCTGAATTTTAAAATTTTAATGAAAAGGCACAAAATTGTATCTTAACACCTCAAATGTTAAGATACCAGAAATCACTTTAATTCATAGGTTTGTTAATTTTATCTTAGAAATAAATATAAAATAGTTACTGCATTTTCCATTCTGGTATTTAAATAATTTCTTTCTGATCTTTCATGATTTACATAACACTGTCTATTTGTATGAAATTTTAAAAATCCAGTGTGTTATAAATCAAGGCTATTTTTTTTTTACTTTTAAGTCCTACAATACTGTAAAAAAATTATGTATTTAAGATCTAAAAATAAAAAAGTAGATACATTTTATTAGAAAATAAAGGAGAACTCTGGGTCGACTTTAGCAGAAATTTGGTTAAATATGTATTGAGTGACACACAAAAAGGGTAATTGTTCTCTACTATTCACACCTAACAGACAGAAACTGAGTTGAAATCTAAGTGGTATGATCAGAATTGTTATTAAGTAAGTTATAATCTAGAGGTGGGCTTACTCACCTCAGTTTCAAAATAATTCTGTTAAATAAACATCCTCAGTAAATGTTAATATTTAAAATAAACTAGTTTACTTTACCCGGGCCATTCTTTTCCATTCTGGCATTAAAACTTGACATGGATGACACCATGGAGAATAGAAATCAACCATCCAGACTTCATCATGTTTTCTTTGTTTAACTAGTTCATTGAAAGTAGTGGGTGTCAGGGAGATCACCGAAGGATTCCTAAGGTCCTAAACACAACACGGCTTTCATTGTTACAGATATGAAAAAAAGAGCTGTTCATATATTCTTGGCAAATTGTTGGTATCTGTCATTTGGAAAAAATTATTTCTGAATGATAAAAAGATACTTAAGGATATTTTAAAGACATTCTACAGAAAATTATTTTTAAAAGGAAGAAATAATCCCTAATTTATCAAGTTTGGATTTTGGCTATCAGTCTTCTTAGATTGAAGTATATTTTGTTCCTATTTCTATGTATCACTAAAATAAAGAGGCAACTTTATTTAAGGTTATTAGTAGATGAGGTGATATTTCCAAGAGCTTCTCAATGTCTATATAGGCCATATAGTTCAGTTCTAAAACCAATGATTGGTTTGGAAATGACCCTTTAATTAATAATGGAAAGCCTACTCGTCTATTTTTCTAACATTCTGACAGGAGATACTGCACAACCTCGCTACACATCATTTGTTTCAAATGCTATTTCAACAAAGCTTCGGTCTTTCGTGATTGAGTAATATTAAGGAAGATGTTAGCTTCACTGAGGAAAACAATCAAAACCAAAAACTGTTTTTCTGGAGGAGGAGGGAGAGAAGAAACAGGGAATAGAATGGTCACTACCTAAATAATAAGCTAAAATTTTTCATTCTTAGGAGGCCCCTGTTAACTATTTTAGCCAAGAAATATTATTAGTGGAAAAAAAGAAGATGCTATAGATACAAAGTGCTTCTGTACTAATCACACAGGTGTGGCAGAGCTGGCTGGGTTTGAAAGGGGCCCTCCAGGAGGTTGGTTTAGACTGCTCTTACCCACCCACACATTTCCTGGATTACTGAGCTTCCTCCTATCTCATCTATATGAGACCTCAAAGAAATAAACTGTGGTGGTTCTATCTGAGAAAACATGGAGGGGGTGTGGCAAAGCTTTATGAAAATATAATTTCATGTATTCAATAAATAGTTGTGTCTACTAAGTCCAAGACACTGCGCTAGGTAGGTAATAAAACACAGACTTATACTTTGTGTTTATAGCAAGTATATAATAAAAGTAAAACATTAGAAAAATTTAAGAAATTCATTTTCTTGTCAGAAAATATGATTTGGCACAAAAAGAATAAATCCAGTTATTAAACATGATTAAATATTTATACAAAGTATACACATACACAGAAGGATTTAGAGCCATGAACTTATGTTACCTCTATACTTCATAATATTATAGAATTAACTTAAAATGTGTCCAGGAGATAACTAAATTGAACAACAATAAGAAAAAAATACCTCTATGAACTCCAAGATCTGTTCGGCAGAGTGATGTCCTTCATATTCATGAATGTTGGACTGGTTGAACACCACTGTTGTTGGATAAGCCTGAATGTTATACTGTTAAGAATGAAATGACAAACTAAACATGATTTTATACATTTAACCTATTTGTTTCAAATTTAACCAGCTTGCCTTTGTTTAAGTAATAAGAATTAAAAACCTATTGTTAAATTGCTGGTGACTGAAAAATTTTAGCCTGGACAACTTTTGCAGAGAAAACAGTACTGGTGAATACCTAACCCTTACTTGTAGGAGGCTCCGCAGATATAAAGGTGCACCATGGATATAAAATCCACGGGCAGGACACACAGAGCAGCGAGCATGGGTAATTATGAGCATGGTGCCTTCATACTCTCCAGAACTAAGATGCATGACGCTGTAAAGAGCAGGCTAATTCCTAGCGTAAGTCATTTCTGAAGGCATAAATATTCCAATTTGTCTAAAAGTAGAAGAAAATCAAAAGAATACAATAGCATGAATGAAGAAATATATTAATAATGTGAACACACCTACACTTTAGGTTAAAGAATTATGAATCATGCCCTAAGAATGTGGCCATTTTTTATACTTTATATTCAAGAGTTTTTATGGTACAAAATATTACAATTTCCTCCTTCGAATTAACATGAACTAAGGAAGGATTTCTTTAAAGTTTTAATTTTTAGGAAGAAAGAAGATGGTGGAGGAGTGAATGGGAGTCACGCTGACCTCCTCCCCTCAAGACCAAACTGGAATTGCAACTAAATAGTGGAGTAATCACCTGGAAAACAATGGAACTATAGTGGGAGAGGTGCCTTGGAGCTGCGGACAGACAGTGGATTCAACTCTCACACATCCCAACAGGTGAGAAGTGTGGAGGAGGCTCGAGATGGTGGGCTGGGTGCTCACGGGCACCAGCACCAGAGGGACATTGAAACGGCCAGTTAGCTCCCCGCCCCCAGAAGAACGGGGTCTGAACCATAAACAGGGACCTCTAAACTACAGCAGCTAAAACCAAGAAAATACAGACAAAACGCAACCCCCAAAAGTTTAGGGGTGCTCTCTGCCAGAGATAGGTGGCTGGGGATGCAGAGAGACATTTAAAGGGCCAATGCAAAAATTGCAGTGGCAGCCGCCCTCCTTGATCTCTGGGTAGAGGCAGCAGCAGAGTGGGCTGGTGCCTGGGATAAGACTGGTGAGGAAAACTTTGTGAAGAGAACCGAGACGGGTGGCTGGTGGAGCCCCGGTGATAACGCACCTCCCACTCTGCAGCTACCATCTCGCTCAGGCATAAGGGAATCAATTAACCTGCCTTTTGCGCGCTCCGCACACAGCTTGTGCATGTGAGCTGGGGGGCTAAGTGCAGACAAGCTGGAAGAAATAGAGGATCTCTGGCCAAAGGGGTCACATAGCTGCATTGAGAGCCTTGAGGAGAGACTGGAGATGCGGGGGGGCGGGGGGTTGTTGGGGAAAGAATGGGAGGAGGAACTGGGGAGTCCCGACTCCCTCCCCATTCCGTAGTCATTTTGGGCAGGCAGGGCGCGCCCCCAAAGAGACAGAAGAGGGGTGCGCATGAACCAGACTGCCCGTGATTGCAACGCCATCTGCACAAATAGTGGATCCTTGGCTGAAGAGGTCACAGAATTGCACAAAGACTCCGGAGGAAAGACTGGAGACAGAGGGGTTGGGGAAAGAACGGGAGGAGGAACCGGCGAGTCCCGACTCCTTCTCCTTTCCGTAGTCTCCATTGTGGGGGAAGAGGCCACACCCCCAAAGAGCCAAAAGCTGAAAAGCACACAATAGACAGCCCAAAACCACCCAGTGCAGACGAGCACACTTGCGCCGAGTGGCTGGCGAGGGTTGGCGAGCGTGTGTGTGGAACCACGCGGGCTGGTGGGGGCTCGCGTGGGCTGGCAAGGCCTCCCACAAGTTGGCACCAATGGGGCCTGTGAGGGAGCGCGCAGATTGGCAAGGGAAGGTGTAAAACAACCTGCGCAGGCCCGTGAGTGCAGAGTGGTCCGCAGAAATAGTGGATCCCAGGCCGAAGGGGTCACAGAGCTGCCCAGAGTCCCTGGAGGAGAAACTGGAGACAGGATTAACTGGAGAGTCCTGGAGCTGACTTCCTCCCATTTCCGTAGTCTCCATTTGGCCAGGGCAGGCAAAGCATCCAAAGAGCCAAAAGCGGAGAAAGCAAACAATAGAAGACCCTAAACTGACCAGTGCCGTGGTGCCCGCCAGCCTGGGGGGCCAAACGAGTATGTGAGTTCGCGAATAAGTCCCCTGGGTTGGGGGATCCTGCCGGGCCGGGGAGCATGCTCAAGGAGCCGGTGTGAGAGTGCAGAGCGATCCACAGAAATAGTGGATCCCTGGCCAAAGGGGTCACAGAGCTGCCCAAAGCAGGAGTCAGACACAGACAGTAGACTCCTGGAAGGCTCAAATAAATGACCCAAGGTCATATAAGGTCAACAACTGACATCATCAGAGGCAGGCCCAGAAAGTAAAGGAAAATAAATAAATAAATAAATAAATAAATAAATAAATAAATAAAAGACCCGCCTACTACCATAGAAGTTTAATCCAAAGTCAGGAAATCTAGAGGGCCCAATTGAAGCAGAAGCAAAACTAACTAAGTAACTAACTAACTAACAGACTCTCACAAAAATGGGAAGAAAAAGAAGTTCCCCCCAAATGAGTGGAAAAGGGGACTTCCCACAGAGAGAGCTAAATGAAATAGAGGCAAGGGAACTATCAGACATTGAAGTCAAAACAATGGTTCTAAGGAAGCTCAATGAGTTCAGCCAGCTCAAAGATAACTATGAGAAACTGCAGAGAAACTATCAGGATCTTACAACAAACTATATCAACCTGGAAAAGGACATAGAAACTATCAAGAAGACACAAGAAGATATGAAGAATACCATTTCTGAATTGAAGAACACAGTAGAAGGAATCCAAAGCAGGCTGGATGAAGCCGAGGATTGAATCAGTGAGATGGAGGATAAGGTAGAAAAAAGCTCCCAGAAAGAACAAGAGACGGAAAAAAGACTCAAAAAGAATGAAGAGGCATTTAGGGAAATGTAGGATAACCTGAAACGCAATAATATCCATATATTAGGGATACCAGAAGGTGAAGAGGAGCAAGGGATAGAGAACCTCCTCAAAAAAGTAATGATGGAAAATTTTCCCAATTTGAGGAAAGGGTCTCATGGATCCAGGAGGCACAGAGGACCCCACTCAAGAAGGACCCAAGGAGGTCCACTCCAAGACACATCATCATTAAAATGGCAACTATCAAAGACAAAGAGAGAATCCTCAAGGCAGCAAGGGAGAAGGAGAAAGTAACATACAAGGGGGCCCTGATACACCTAGGAGCTGACTTCTCAACAGAAACGCTACAGGCCAGAAGGGAATGGCAACAAATATTCCAAGTAATGAAAAGCAAGGGCCTACAACCAAGGCTGCTCTACCCAGCAAGGCTCTCAATTAAAATAGAAGGGGAAATACGGAGTTTCCCAGACAAAAGAAGGCTAAAAGAATACATCTCTACCAAACCAGCACTCCAAGATATGCTAAAGGGACTGGTTTAAGAAGATGAAGGAAAAGAGTGAGAAAGAGAAAAACACAGGTACAAAGAGAAAAGATGAGTAAGCTTCTATCAGTAATAACTCTCAATGTAAATGGACTAAATGCCCCAATCAAAAGACACAGGATAGCTGAATGGATAAGAAAACATGACCCACACATACGCTGCCTACAAGAGACCCACCTCAGAGCAAGAGACCTACACAGATTGAAAGTAAAGGGATGGAAAAAAATATTCCAAGCAAATGGGCATGAGAAAAAGGCCGGGGTTGCCATACTTGTATCAGACAAAGTAGATTTCAAAACAAAGGCCATAAAAAGAGACCCAGAGGGGCACTTTATAATACTGAAAGGAAGAATCTATCAAGAAGACATCAACATTGTAAACTTATATGCTCCCAATATAGGAGCCCCCAAGTATATAAGGAAATGGTTGGATGACTTCAAAAAAGATATAGACAGCAACACACTGATAGTAGGGGATTTCAACACCCCACTGTCAAAAATGGACAGATCTTCCAAACAAAACATTAATAAACATATTGTGGCGCTGAATGACACACTGAATCAAAGAGACCTAACTGACATATATAGAACCTTACATCCCAAAGAAGAAAAATACACATTCTTTTCAAATGCTCACGGCAGTTTTTCAAAGATAGACCACATGATAGGGCATAAAGCAAGCCTCAGCAAATTCAGGACAACTGAAATAATACCAAACTTTTTCTTGGACCACAAGGGCTTGAAACGGGAAATCAACCTCAAAGAGAAACTTCAAAAACTTGCAAACTCATGGGGACTGAAGAGTAGACTATTAAACAATGGGTCAAAAATGAGATAAGAAATCAAAAAATTTCTGGAAACAAATGAAAATGAACAGACAACAGTCCAAAACCTATGGGGCACAGCAAAGGCGGTCCTGAGAGGGAAGTTCATAGCAATACAGGCTTACCTAAAAAAGACAGAAACATTTCAAATAAAAGACCTAACACTACAACTTCAAGAACTGGAGAAACAACAAATAAATCCCAGAGCAAGTAGAAGGAAGGCAATAGTTAAGATTAGAGCAGAACTGAATGACATAGAGACAAAAAGAACAATTCAGAGGATCAACCAATCCAGAAGCTGGTTCTTTGAAAAGATAAATAAAATTGACAAGCCTTTAAGCAGACTCATCAAAACAAAAAGGGAGAGGACCCAAATTAATAATATCAGAAACGAAAGAGGAGAAATAACAACTGATACCACAGAAATACCAAGGATTGTCAGAAACTACTATGAACAATTATATACCAAGAAATTTGAAAACCTTGATGAAATGGACAAATTTTTAGAAAAGTATAATCTCCCAACACCGAAGGAGGAAGAAACAGAAAGCTTGAACAGACCAATAACAGCTGGGGAAATTGAAGCAGTGATCAAGAAATCCTGGCACACAAAAGCCCAGGGCCAGATGGTTTCACAGGAGAATTTTACAAAACATTCAAGGAAGAGCTAACCCCTGTCCTTCTCAGACTATTCCAAAAAATTCAAGAGGAGGGAAGACTCCCAGACTCTTTCTATGAGGCCAGCATCACCCTGATCCCAAATCCAGATAAAGACCGTACAAAGAAAGAAAACTACAGGCCAACTTCGCTGATGAACATAGATGCTAAAATCCTCAAAAAAATATTGGCAAACCGCATCCAGCAATACATTAAAAAGATTATCCACCATGATCAAGTGGGATTCATCCCAGGGATGCAGGGATGGTTCAATATACGCAAGTCAATAAACGTAACACATCACATAAATAAAAGACAAAAACCACATGATCATTGATAGATGCAGAAAAAGCATAAAGTTTTAATTTTTATTTATTCTTTAAAAAGTCATAAAGAGATCTGTAGATTTGTTGTAGTTGAATTTTACTCTTTAAAGTTGACACATTTATTAGCAAAATGGAATCTTTGTCTAGGATTCAAAAATAATTTGATTTTTTTTTTTATTTTTAGAGAAATGGGGCCTGGCCCAAAACTCAGGCATGTGCCCTGACTGGGAATCAAACTGGCAACCTTTCGGTTTGCAGGACAACTCCTAACTCGCTGAGCCACACCAATCAGGCCTCAAGAGTAATTTTAGAAAAAACAATGGAAACATTTATCAAACTTTTGTAAACTGAGTGCAAATATCGATAATTCATTACATTAACAGGACAATTAAACCTAACATTTAATAAGCACTTACTATGTGTCTATCACCTTTTCAGCACTTAAACATGTAGTTTCTAATCTGTTTCTCACAACAATGCTATTGAATAGCTAAAATTACTAAGTCAACTTTATAGAGGAGGAAATTGAAGTTTTGAGTCTAAGTGAGTTGGTCAAGACCCACCAATTAGTGAGTAGTGAATCCTGGCATGTTCTGGATGAACCAATACCATAGTTTTATACTCTTGCATTTTACTCAATTACCTATAGGCTATTTAATAGATGAGATAAAAAGTAGAAAAACTAAATAAGTCTAAGAAGATTATTTATCTTCGCTTAGTATCTTTTTTAGTCACATACAACAGCATTAAAAAACATAGGCCTATTTATTTTAGACTTATTTTAATAAAATTAGAAAAAAATAAAAAGAGAATAATCTAACAAATACCCACATAGCCCTCCCTTATATTTAAGGAAGATTAACTTTTTAGCCACACTCGCAGATTGTTGGAGTTGTCTTTCTTGATTTCATTTCCTTCCCGTCCTGCCACTAGGAGCAACCTGCAATGTTTGAGCACTGAAAAGCTTTCTCTAATTTTATCATATTCTTTATACACTCCTGTAACCTCCTTTTTTTTCATTTTCCATTTTGTTTTTGAGATTTACCCATGCTGGTTAAGAGAGATCCGGTTTTAAACATTCCACTGTGTGAATGGATAATTAATTTATCCATTTACTTGCTATCGTGAGATTTCTAAATTTCTGTTAATTTGATAGATGGGGGGCATATAGGGCTATTTTAGTAATTTGTACTTTCTTGATGAATAGTTAGGTTGAACACTTTTCACATTTTTTGGATTTCCTCTTTTGCAAAATGTAAACTTTTTCTATTACTTAAAAAATTGATTTATAGTCTTTAAATATTCTAGACACTAAAGCTTTGTTAGTTGTATGTGCTGCAAAAACATCCTTAGCCTGTTCTCTTAAGTTTGTACTGTCTTTTGGCAATAGTTTTATCATTTAATATAGTCAATTAATTCATATTCATTGATTTTTATATTTAGTTTGTTTTCGTGTGTGGGTTGAATGGTAAATTATTCCTCACACAGATGCCATAAACATTTCAACCTACATTTAATTCCATTTATCTTCTTTAAAAAGTTTAGTTTTTATAAATTTTAGTTTAAAATACACACAAAAGCAGAGAATAATAAAGCCTGATGTACTCTTGTGGCTACAACAATCATTCACTCACTCATTGCTACTCTTAACTCATCTATACTTCCTTCCACTCTAGTCCTACCCCAAGGTTATTCTAGAGAAAATTCCAGATAATTTATCATTTCATCCATAAATATTTCAGTATATTTAAAATATAAGGACTTTCCCCCAAATATAACCACACTATCATTTTTGTATCTAAAAGTTAACAATTCCTGAAAAATCATCAGATACCCTGTCAGTGTTCAAATTTCCCCAATTTGCTCTTTTATTGTTACAGTTGGTTTGTTTTAGCTGCATGCACATGAGGCCTCAAATGGCATTTGAATGGCATGTCTTTTAAGTCTTTAATCTTCTTTCCCTTACAAATAATCTGTCCAATAAACTGCATGCTTGTCTTATAAAGTTCTCTGTGCCAGATTTGCAGCTTGCACGCCCATGCTGTCACTTTATCTGTTCCTCTCTGTCATTGGATTTTCTACACCCAGATGGGTAATGACAACTTGATTTAATTTAGATTTGATTTTTTCCCCCCCCAAGACTATTTTACAGGGAGCGTTGTATATTTTCATCATGAGGTATACAATTTCTAGTACTTCTTGGAACTAAAGAGTGAATATTAATTAACCCCGTATCTCATTCATTGCTTTAATTTCCTTCTGTTAGCTACATTATTGCAAGGAAAGTCCAAGAATAAAGCTATAGACTGCCAAAAGGTAATATTAAGTTAAAAAAAATAAAGATCTTAAATAATTAAAAAAATATATTTTATCAACTAAATATTTTCCTGAATTTAATAAGACTATATCTACATTTAACTACATCTTATTCCATGTTTTACTCATCATAACATTGTATCATTTTGTTGAAATTATTTGTTTAAACAATTTATTACTACTTTAAATGTAGATGTTTGAAAAAGTTATTTTATTATTTTAATATATTAGTTAGAATACATATTTAATACTTTGCCTTACCATGTTACAGAGTCCCTCGTGAACTGTACAATCTAGTGTACCAAACTTAAGCTGACCATAAAGATGTTTTGATGCTTTTCGTAACTCTGGCAATAAAGCTCGACATGGTGGGCACCACTATAAAAGAAAAAGTATTCATAAGCACTGAGCCAAATGAAACAAAAAAAACACACATCATTTTTGCAATAAGCAATATGCTAAGACAAACCACACTTAGTTGCAAATTTTATGCTTGCATATGAAGTCTGTCCAGAAAAGTCCAGCCACTGTCAGTATGATAAGAACAGTTTGCACAACATAGATGTAACCTGGCAGCCAAGGCAAGTGGACTGGAGTGAGCATGTGTGAACAATGATGATTTCACTGTACTTGTCAGTGGAGGCAGTAGATATGGTTGAGTGAGCATGTGTACTGTGTGGCCATTGCATTCAGAATGACTAAGTGAGTACAGCAACAAATCATCAAATTTTGTGTTAAACTTGAACATTCCTCCATGGAAGCTATTCAGATGATTCAGAAGGCCACAGCTGTGGGCAACTGGTGTTTGGTAGCTTCATCACAACCATGTCCCACTCATGCATCATGTCTCATGCAATTTTCTGGCAAAACATCAAATCGCCCAAGTGGCTCAGCCCCCCGACAGCCCAGATTTGGCACCCTGTGACTTCTGGCTTTTCCCAAAACTAAAATCACCTTTCAAAGGGAAGAGATTTCAGACCGTTCATGAGATTCAGGAAAATGTGATGGGGCAGCTGATCATGACTGAGAGAACTGTGTAAGGTCCCAAGGTGCCTAATCTGAGGGGGACTGAGACGTCACTGTCATATGTTTCTTTTATCTTGTATCTTCAATAAACATCTCTGTTTTTCATATTACATGGCCGGATACTTTCTGGACAGACCTCGCATATTTAATTTTTAGAGAGGCAAGTACATCAGTGCTATGTTAGATGCAGTACATGGTAGTAGCCAAAACTGAACAACACAATGCTAGTACCCACGGTTCAAGGTTATATAGAAAATGATTTTTGCTGAAAAGAGAAAATCTGGCAATACTTAATTTTGACACATAAATACAACTTACAGGGGCAAAAAAATCAACAAGCCATGGTTCTTTGTGATTGGCAGGAAAATTCTGAGGTCCAAGTGTGGTAACATGAGAATGAACACTTTCTTTGGCAAAGGCAAGTATATCATATAGAATCTTCTTTCCTTTGAAATTGAGTAAGAGAAAAGTTAAAATCCACATTCTGTCTTTCATTCATAAAAACACTTCAAAGTTTTTATGTTTAAAATACTGAAGAAAAGAAGGTGAACTTACAAACATATTTGGTTTTGGTGAGGTTTAAATGTTCTGTAAGCTATATATACAGGAGTACCCCTTCCTTTACTCTTCTGTTTCTGGGATGACCCAGTTAAAATGTCAAAATCTCTTGAAAATGTTGGTCTGATCTACTCCTTTGGCCTAACTCCTAATTCTGTTTCTTCAACCTAGACTACTTTTATGAATTCAAAACCTATATTACCTATTAGCTAGTGGAAGGATTAACCTGGAATCATAAACATTTCAGACATAATGTGTTCAAACTGAAGTTATTTTCCCCCAAAATTGCTTCTTTCTTTCCCTACCTTGGCAATGGCATCATCACCCACTAGGTGACTTAACTAAGATTTTCCAGAGTGATTCTTGCCTTCTTTGCCCTTGTATCAGAACTCCATCCATTCTATCTCTTGCCATCTCCAACCTCAATTTAGGCTACTGTCTAAATTTAGTTTGGCTGACTGCAATAACAAAGTTAGTCTTTCTGCTCTTTCTTAACTAATCCTTGTCTACATTGCTACCAAAAAAATCATTAATCATGTTGCCACTGCCTAAAGATTAAATACAGGGTGTGGCAACCTTTTTTTTTTACAAAATCTTTTATTACAAAATCATAAGCATGTAATCCTGTAACATAACAATATCACACTCAAGCATACCATATGACATTTTAGGTGAAATGTTCAAATTAAAAACAAATTATTACATCCATATCATTACCCTACCAACCACACTCAAGCAAGCATTACTTCTGCTGGACTCTGTACTTCTTGGCTTGACAAATCATAGCTTTCTCATCCAGCATATAATCCATTTTGCCATGTGACCTTTGACTTACTCATTCCATAGTCAATATTAAGTCAAGTACATATAAATGTGTCAGACCCTGATTTAAATGCCATAGAGCACGCAAAAATAAAAAAGACAGTCCTTCTCCTTGAGTTTACAGCCCAGTAGAAGAGACAATTTCACAAATGTTTCAATACAGTGATAATGACACCACAATCTCTTGCCATTTTTTTTTTCTCTTTAACTAATGCTTCTTGAATTGTTTAATGAATTCCCCTCTTTGCCTGTATCTTAAAAGAGATCCTTAGGGCCCTGATCTTTCTGTTTACTCAGACAAGCTCATCCTCCCTCAAAGCTTTAATTCCTCGATATGATGATTACTTTTATTTACATTTGTAGACCAAAGTCCTCTCCTGAGGCCTCCCGGCCCTATAGTCAGTTGTGACTACTTCACATCAACTCTCCTCTAGTGTTCTTCTCTGCAGGAAATGATGCAGTCAGTCACTCAATGCCAATTTACCAAGTCTGAAACTTGGGTCTACTCCTTTTATTCTCCTATATCTAAACAATCATCAAGTTATACTGATTTTGTATCCTGTTAATTTAAAAATATGCGGACTTTTTTCCATCCACATTACATTATTTAGATAAGTAGCCACTTTCTCTTAGATGAATGATTGCATCAGGCTTCTATCTGTTCTCCTTTCTTCCAATCCTGCTTCTATCCACTCTAGGCTTTTAGTCACCTTTTTAAAATGTAAAACTAGTAAAATCGTATCTCTGCTTAAACCCATGAATGCCTCTTGCTGTTTTGTCCTCAGCACAAAGTCCCAATTCCTTTACCTGACAGACATAACACATAATTTGGACTCCTGGTGACCTCTCCAGCCTCAAGTCTCATTCTTTTCCAACGTTCACCATTCCAAAGATCCTGAAATTCTTGCTTTCTAAGAATAGGCAAGGCTCTCTCTTAGAGTCCATGAATACAATTGCTGGTTTCTTCCCTTAACATGTGTGTTTGACACCTTTTTATTTAAGTAACCATTACTTATATATTGGATCTCAATAAAGAGATTGCTTTCTTTAATCTCAGAAAATTATTCCCTCCTAAGTATTCTTCCTAAGTGTAACTCATGCTCTTCTCTTGAGGCTCTTGTGGCAGTCAGTCTCCAAAATAGCTCCTGGTGATTTCTGCCTCATGTACTCTTAGCATGATTGTACCAGGGTTGGTGTATGTGACCAACAGAATATGGGGGATGTGGGACCCAATTTTAACAGATATTGCTGCTTCTGTGTGTGTGTGTGTGTGTGTCTCTCTCTGATCATTCATTCTGGAGAAGCCAGCTGCCATATTGTGAACAGCCCTATACAGAGACTCATGTAATAAGAAACTGAGTTCTCCTGGCTATCCCATGAGCCAGCTTGGAACCAAATCCTCCAGCCGCATTCTACCCTCCAGATGACTATAACCCTCATCTGCCTTGACTGCAACCTCATGAAGAGACCTGAGCCAATAGCACTGAGCTGAGTTGTTCTCAGATTCCTGAACATCAGATGCTGTTGAAGTCGCTATATTTTGTGTTAATTTACAACTCAGAAATAGATTAATACTCCTCACTTCAGACATTTTAAAATCTGACCATTGACTTGTCTGCTTCCCCAACTAGTCCCTAATGTTCTTTAAGGTACAGATTAAGTATCGTTCATATGTTTTCCCTCTCCCTTGTCTAACTGGCACACGCAGATGATCAATACCTATTTAAATACTAAGAAATGATATAAATTATGCTATACAATTAGTGACAACACACAAAAGGAAGCACAATACTTGGGGATTCATGGTATATTTCCTGGGGGGGGTGCTCTAGGCTAAATTCTGAAGGGTGATTTGGAGTTTGCTAAATAAAGGGGTAGGCAACATTAGGTTTACAGTTGCTCATATGGAAAATACAATAATAAATAATACAAGAATAAACTCTGTTTCATGTACTCACAAATGTAAACCTACTGTTACCAACCCCTATATTTTGAGGGGCAAGGAGGAATGATTACAATCCAAGAGGAAAAATTTTGTATGAAGGCACAGAGGAGTGAAAGAACGTTGCATTTTCAAGGTTCTGCAAGTAGCTGGAGCTATGATTATTTGGAAGGGCAGAAATAGGAGACAAGGCCAAAAAATCCAGCAGAGGCAGACTGTTAATGCATCCTGTTAATTTAACAACTATATATTGAGTTCCAACTGCACACCAGGCGCCATTCTAGGTGTTGAAAATAGAGTGATGAGCAAAACAGACAAACTGATTGCTCCTATGAGAGGAAACCTGAACTTTATTTAAAAGAAATTGGAGTCAAGGAAGTAAAGTGACATGAGAATGTTCTAGATTTTCAAGGGCAATAAATACAGATAAAACCAGTAACTGATTATAAAGACAGACTATGAAATGGACAACTGTATCAGATGATGACCTAGTATCTGAAGGAGATGAGAGGCCTGAAATAAGGCAGTAAGCATAGAGAAGATGGGGAATCTCAGAAAGATTTTAGAGGTTAAAAAAGAATAGAATTCCATTATTAAAAGTTGGTTATTTCTAGCACTTTAAGGAGGTGACATTTAATTAGCTGTAAGCCTAGGCTTTGGAGTCAGACATATTTGGATACAAAAATTTATGTTGACCAGTTACTGATTGCTGTCATGGGCTAACAAATTATTTAACCTTTCTAAGTCTCAGTTTTTCCCCTTGCTGGACTGTTGTGAGGTTAAAAAAGTGAAAATGCAGAAGTATGCAAAGCCATTAGAAAAACATCTGCCTTAGAGAAAATAGAGACTAAACAGTAGTTATTACTAGGATTACCTTGCCAAGCAAGCTTTTATTCATGTAGTTCTTCTGGCCTAAAAGGACTAAGTTCTTGTTCCTTTGTACTTACTTTGGGAAACTGAGCATTCAAATGTCACCTCAATTCACATATTGCCTCCTGATTTATACTATGCAGAAGTTTCTTTATTAGATTTTATGAACTTATACATAATGACCATTACAATGGTTATCAGATTTGCTTATAGATTTTCCCTCTCACCTGCTCTAGATATTTTAAGCTTCTTGAGAGCAAAGCTCATCTTACAAGTTTGCATGCCTAACGCCTGAAACAGGGCTTGTCACGTAAAAGGCAAATACTTGTTACTCACTTAAGTGTGTGATAGTTAATAGTTTGTCTCTCTTGCTACATTTCACCTTTTCCAGGACAGGGACTGTGATGTATCTCAGACCCTAGGAATTGGAACTTTGTTTGAATCAAGAGCTAAAGTCACAAACAAGCTGAAATGTAGACATGTAATTATAAATTCACAAAAGATGACAAAACAGTTAATGGAGATGTTTGGTAGTCTAGTGGAGGAAAAGTCTGAAAGAATGTCTGTACATTGCCTATAGTTACTGAGATGCTACATTTGGCAAACGAGAATGAAAACTGTAGGTGCCACTTACATTTGTCAACAAGCAAGAAAGACACTTAAATTCCTCCCTAGTCTAACATGTCACTACAGCTCTTGCTGAAACACTGATCAAGAGTAAAAAGCATAAAATAACTATAATTCAAAATGTCTTTACCAGAAGAAACAAATTTACTGATAAATGAGAGCAAAACTATAAGTATGTCCATATAATACAAGGTAAAAAGTAAAATTAAAAATTACAGTCATACCTTGTTTTATTGTGCTTTGACTTATTGTGCATTACAGATGTTTAGAGATAGAAGGCAAGACCTTTCACCAGCAAAACGATTGCAACTTGCTTTGTGTTGGTCTGGAACTGAACCTATAATAGCTTTGAGGTATGCCTGTACTATTTGAAAATAAAGACAAATTTTTATCATATTTTCCCTCTTACCATGATGAATTTCATATTCTTTGGTTCCTTGTCCTTTAAACACTGCTAGACATGGCTGAAAAACATAGAGATCACTACAGATGCCTGGTGCAGTGGAACAGTCAAACTTGCCAATCTAGAGCAGAAAGAGAAGGTTCAATTGGATGAAAATACAATCTTCTCCATACAATTAAATATTTATAGAGGGAATCCCAAAAGGACATTACTCTAACAACAGTTTCTAAACAGAAGTTAATGGGCTCTAAATGAGAGAGAAATAATTAATTTACATTTAACACTGAAATTCAATTTAGTTAAAAAAAAAAAAAAAGATGCCTCTAGAGAATTCAAAACCTGAGATAATATAAGGTTGTTTAAGAAAGCCACCCTTCAAAAAATGTAGAGAATATTTATATAATATTGGGGTGGGGAGGAAAAAAAACTTTTCATGTGAGACCACCAGAAAGGGATAAAAAAAGAAAAAGGTTGACATCTTCATATTTTGGGGAAGAAAACTAGTTATTTAAAATACAATTTTATGTATTAAATTAATAAGAAAGCATACTAGCAGAAAGCTGGGCAGAATACATTTTTCTTACTTGAATATGCTCATTTTTAAGTAGAGTCTTTAGTTTCTTCAACTCAGGATCAGCTGAATTTCCATTTTCTCCAAAATGAAAAAATAAGAGCCATCGGTGATGAGCCAAACGATCCTTAAAAGTGATTTAATAAAAAGAATGTTAAGGACAGAAAATTCTAAGCATTCTAATATTTACTTATTATTCTCTTAAATTACCTTTAACAATCCTAGTCATTACTTCAAAATAATGTCAAAAATTCGGACACGTCCATATTCTCATCTTGTAGTTTATTTGAAATAATGCTATGTAAACCGATCACACAAAATTATAGAAGGGTAAGAGTCACTACATTATAAAATCTTAATGTGGACAACTGTGCCAAAAAATGCTTTATTTTACAATAATGTGAAAAATATTAGCTATATGGTTTTAAGAACATACAGCTAAAATGCTGGGAGGTAGGGCAAGATGGCCTTTTCAGGTTTACCAAAAAGTCTGGTGGGATGACAGACTTAGAAAGCTCTTGGATCAATAAGTAGGAAAAAAAATTGATTCTACTATTAAGTAGCTCTAAAACTGCTTCTTAATTTTCAGTGAATAACATAGTTTTGTAAGCAAGAACATAAAGTTCCAAATCAAATCCAAAGTGGCTTTGTGATCAAAATCTGGCCTTTTCTGACACTCCTGAAGCCTTTTAAGACTAGTAAGGTTTTACAAGATCACATATCCTCCCTGTAACACCAACAGCTCCAGCAATTAAGAGTTCAACCTAGAGTTGACTCATATATGTCAACTTATGAGCATATGTTACTTTTTCTCTAGTGATGAATAAAGCAAATGCTGACTTTAAAAATATTAAGACTTGAAATGTTGTAGCATTACTATTATTTCAAAAATATTACCTCTAGTGTATCAGCTGAGAGCAGTTCAAAATCTGGAAGATTATGCATTATTTCCAAATATATTTCTTTAGCATCCAATGAATTAAGAAACTAGAATAAGAGAATCATATTGTAATCATTTTAGTTAACATCCTTTTATTTTGTATCTTTTTTTCCTTTTGTTTCCATAAAAGAATTTTAAGAAAAATAGTCACAGACATTAAACAATTTTCAAGCTACTTACTCTAAATAGTCTTCCCCCCCTCCAAAAAACATATTATATTTGGTAATTATTAAAAATTGCATAACTCAGCTGTTTTCTTTAAAAAAGTGATGTAAAACAAATTCCATTATTAGGTGTTTTATTACTTGGAATTTTTTATTAACTGACTTGTGTTCTATAATAATTCTCACAATAACTTGGAGGACTTCTGAATCATAAAGAAAAAGCGGTATTAAATTATGCTCAGTGCAATTTTAATGCAAATTGTATCTCACAGAATGCCAACTCTTTACAAATTCTTTAAGAACTGTTAAAACACTAGAACATTTGATACCCCAAACAATAATTAATAGGAATTAAGATAAGAACTTATAACTGGAAAATTAGAATGGACCTTGTTTATTATAGAGGTTTTCAGAAATAATGTCCATAAACCATGAGATTCGCAGAGTAAAATATACTGATAAAGGGTTTATTTTAAATATGTTTTAGATCTAAGTCTCTTATTTAAAACACAAACAACTGAAAAAGGTGCATCTCCTTTCTAATACATCTCATTTACTTCTGTCCATATTTTATCCTCAGAATATTTTCTCACAGAATGATCTCTGTTGGTCTAATTCTCAATGAAGTTGCTGTTACTACAAAGAGTGTAGCAGTAGTTATATCAAGAAAATATATGTGGGTTGAAAAGACAGTTTAATGTATATCTTCCTTTACAAACCATCCATGTTTGAAAAATTCAAATACAGTATTACTTGAAAAATCTAAAACTTCATTAAAAACTTGTAGAAACTACCACTGTATTCGCAGTTTAATTGTGCTTGATAAAAGAATAACCATATGGATAGAAACAATGGGAATAAGAACAGAAAACTCAGTTTTTTCCTGAAAACCTTTTTTTATTCTATAGCATAAATGTTCTGAAAGCTCTATATGAAATATTTTCTGTTACTGAAGGCCTTAAGAGGTGAAAGCAACAGAATTCTTTCATGCTTCAGTACTAGAATTCATTCACTTTAGTCACATTTATTATGAAGATTTCACTAAAAATATTCCTATAGCAGTTTATAAATATATGTGATGAATCCATTACATCCTCCTTATAAACCTGTTTGTCTTAGTGTAAAACTTGGTAGTTATATCTATAAAAGTATATTGTCCAGTCTCCAAATTTCACTTTCTAGACATGTTTAACTAGCATAGTGCCTTACATTTTTTTTTTTTTTTTAAACTTGAATGTTTTTAGAAGGGACAAGGACTATTTAATTCATCACTCCTGGTTATTCCATTTCCAGTATAACTCATTTACATTTTCTAAGATTGTATCTGAACTCGCAGTTTATATCAAAATGCCCAACAATCTCACTAAAATCTGAGGCTGTAGCTTACTGAAGGTAAGACTCTGTATTAGCTGTTAGCCAAGGTATAGGCAAACCTCATGAACTAATGGCATAGGATTAACAAACACAGATTTCTGTAGGGCAATCTGACAATAAGAACTGAATTTAAAATTGCCACAACTATCTCATTGTGAACAGATAACTGAAGAAATGCAAAAAGATGGACAAGATTGTTTATTACAACACTGCTAATAATAATAAAGTAGAAACAACCTAAGTATCTAGTAGGAGAGGACTGAGTAAGTATTCACTTTCAGTCTATGAATTACAATTCAGGGATTGTTGATAACTATTATATATGTGTGTGTTTATGTACTGTGTTTTGCCATGTGTAATGCACGCTTTTTTACCCAAATTTTTGAGGGACAAACAAGGATGCGTATTATACATGGGTATAATGATTACATATCATGGTTATGATAACGGGCGCAAAATCGTGGGTGTACATTATACATGGGAGTACATTATACACGGCAAAATACAGTATATATGTATATTGCCCCATGTACTATATATTAGTACATACATATATTTCATCAACCGAGATAGGGAAAACTGGATAGAGTAGATCTATTAGGGACTATCAGGAGTATAGTTACAGCAAAGTTTGAGACATCAATTAATATCCCAGGAGACGTGTTAAACAGGCAGTAGGATATGTCTGGAGTGCAGGGCAGCAACTTAGGCCACAGATAAAACTTTGTCATCAGCATTAAGTCTTAACTGTATGACGCCTAAGTAGAGATCTGGAAGGATATTTACCAAAATTTGAAGGTGCTAGTGCATTGGTGATTTAGTTTTAGTTAATTTTGCATCTTTCTTAAAACATTTCTATACTGTTACAAATTTCTGTAATGAATATCTTTATCAACATCAAAAAGTTAAAATACAGAAAACTAAAAAATATGTTCTTTATTAGTCTTTTATTTTCTTTTGAGGTTTCCTGGGACCTGTCTATATCCCACTATTTATCCCCCTTCCTTGACAACTAACTTGATTCTCATTCATAAAATCAGGGAGGTGAACCACACCAGACGATCTCTAATGAGTTTATATCAGAACCGAACAGGGTGCTTAAAAAAAAAAAGATACTGGATTCCAGCCAAACCTACCAATGATTTGTATTTTATACAAATAAATGGAAACCAGTGAAAATTCATTTAACCTAAGACTGTATTCCATACCTTTGGGATTTAAAAATATTAATGGTTTATGCCAGTTAAAAATAATTCTTACAGCAGACTTTGCAAACTGAAGTACAAACAAAATCCCAGAAAATATTTGCTCTAAATTATTCAATGTTCCACATTCAGATGCTATAAACTGACTTCTTTTCTAGCTCATTGTTTACAAAAATGTATTTAAATGTGTGCATTTAAATAAATTAAAGTGATTTATACCAAAACACTGCTTTTCTCTTTGTTATTTAAAGTGGCTCCAGGAGGAAAATAAGCGGTAGTACTTGTCGTAATATCCAAACTTGTACAAAGGTTGCCCTGGGTGGCACAGTCCATCCAGCCCACATTAACAAGACCATCCTAAAATGGAAAGAAACAAAAAAATAGATTGTGTTGCAAGGGAAGAAAAAGTCAAAGGGATTTAGCTTTATTTAGCAAATAAGCAACTTACTATTGTAAATTAAATTGTGTTTTATAAAACACTAAAAAAAGATGCAGATTTGAGTAACAATTATTATTAACAGGTTACTTTAAAATAATGTTATTAATGTTAGTAATTACAATTTGATTTAATAGATATGAAAGTACATTAAGCATACATAGAAAGCATTATTTTTGAGTACATGTAGAATTTTCATAACTGGCAAAATCCCAACCCACAAGAGGAGTTTCAAAAACACTGTTCCCCAACCATAATATGATGAGATCTGAATAAATAAAATAACAAAAGAAGTTTGGAAATGACGAAAACACTAATACATAACTCTGGTTAAAGAGGACTTCATAATTAAATTACAGAATACTTAGCAGTGAATGACAACAAAAACACCTCATATCAAAATGTATTGAACACAGCTATTTAGTTAGGATCCTAGAGCTATGAATATATTTATCAGAAAACAGAAAGATTACAGATAAGTGAGTTAAGTGTTCAAGAGACTACCAAAGAAAATATCTGGAATCTTTTTATGTGTGTTTTTTAACATGGCTATGTAGTTTTACAAAATAATTGATGCTTACCAACATGCCACTAAGCCTGAGACGTGTCTGTGAAGTCAAACAATCTAGAGGGAAAAAAATTGCAGGCAATTTCGGCTTTAAGTCAATACTTTCATTTGCCTTTCCCCAAACTATAATGTTGATTCTTAGGCAATTCATTAAGCTCTACTGGTAAATAATGAAACCTTTACTTACTATGTAGATATGTGGTCCAAGTCTCATTCTACACACATAATACACACCTCTTATGTGTAAAATAGTAAAAGATATTTATTAAATTAAATATTATAATAGATATTATAAATTGTAGTTTGAAGTACTAGATAATCCATTATAGTAGCATGCTTAAGATGGGCACCTAGTCTAAGGGTACACATTTCCAGTTACAAGATTAACAAGTCCTGGGGTTCTAATATATAGCATATAGTGATTATAGCTAATAATAGTATATTATATGCCTGAGAGTTGCTAAGAGAGTAGATCATAAATATTCTCACTACAAAAATGGCAGTTATCTGACAGGATGGAGGTGTTAGCTAATACTGTGGTAATAATCATTTCGTAAGTGTATCAAATCAGTATGTTGTATATCTTAAAGTTATACAATGCTACTCAATTATATCTCAATAAAGTTGAAAATGTTAAAAAGATTGTCATTTAAAAATTATGTCATGGTCTCTTCATCATAAAAAAATAACAAAGAAAATTACCTCCTCCTTTGGAACAAAAAGTGATCAGCCAGCCGATACCAGCAGCAAAAGCAGTTTGTATGGCATTAACAAAATTTCCTTAAAAGAAAATAAAGCAAATTTCTGATCACTTACTTATTATTCAATAATGAAAACAGTTTTCTAAATGATTTTTCCCTTCTAATCTCACCTTCTTCCAATCTACTCTTTAGTATTCGGGATTTCCTAAAAATTCTCTTAAGCACATGAGATTCATTCATTGGTTCTCCATTTTTTTCAGCACATAAAATCTAAATTCATTGTATCATTAAGAAACTCAAATTGGTCAGAAAGGCCCCTCATGATCTGAGCTTTTTCTATCCATTCAGTGGGCCATATTTTCCCTCATGCAACTCCATGGTATTATTCACCCTTTTGTTAGATTCATGAAGTATTGTCAATTTCCCAAATACAGAGTGAGTCTTTAAGGATTCCTCTTCCCTTTCATGACAGATTGGGTCTGACCTCATTCCAGCATATTTTCTAACCTTTCCTCTTTTTCCCCTGAGTTTTCATATCCTTCATGCTTCCCTAGCTTATCTTTAGTGTGACAGTTACTATGTTAAATTTTAATGATTTACTAATATCTTCCTTGCAAAACTAACGAGGTCCCCGAAGGCAGAGATTATATATTTTATTACTGAAGCGCTAGTATTTAACACAGATTCAAAGACATAACTGGTATTCAATGAATGATATAAGCATCTCTTTAGATGTGAATACCATCATTTCATGGGTAATACAATAGTTAAATAACCCCCCTAAAATCACTTGATAAATTAAAAGCCTAATATTAGAAGAGTTCTTAAACTGCTAAATTAAACTGGATAGACATGAATTTACTGCTCAACACAGTATACTTATGAAAGTGATAAAACTCCTGGTTTACTAAAGATTTAGTTGAACTTTGAAATGTGCTTTTTCCTTTTATGTCTACTTCCATATCTTAATTGTTTTAGTTTTTGTACACATATTTCATTTGTTAAATGCCTACTATTTAGAGGTGAGATCAAATGACACAATTCCCTTCTAAAAAGCATGGAAAAAGATATTTTAAAATTATAATATTGTGATCAAAATATTAATATTGCCAGTGAAAAACAAAATATCAATTTCAAAGTAGCCTTGAAAATTGAGCAAATTAAGAAAATAAATTACCTGTCCATAATTCTGTCACTGTACTTCTAACATGCTGCATGGCAAAACTCACTAAACTTTCCTTTGATCTGTCACCATGGTATTTCACTGCAGCCTATTTTTTTAAAATAAAAAGAGAAACAGTTTTTACTTTTTCTTTCTAAAACCCACTAAAACAATACCAAATACTTTTGATTTTACATTGTTTCAAATAATACAGTAAGATCTGTCTCTCAAATGTACAGCATATTTCCTATCAATATGCTGAGATTCTTGATTGTGTAGATTCATGGAAGATATTTTAACAATACTATTCATAATAATTTCAGTCTCATCACTTAAAACTGGAGAAAAGGGCTATCCTAACTTTATATTCAATGAGACAATACCTGTACAACACTTTGTAAACTACAAAGTAGAATATGCATATTGGTTACATCATATTTTTTTTAAGAAAAGATTTTATTTATTTAGTTATTTGGTTATTTATTTAGAGGGGAAACGAGGGAGAAAAACATCAATTGCTCCTTGCACACGACCCAACCACTGACTGAATTAGTAAACCAGGCCCGTGCCCTGACTAGGAATCCAACCAGCGAGGGTGACACCCTACCCACTGAACCACACCAGTCAGGGCAGTTACATCATATTCTCTAAAACAGAAAATGAAATTGGCAAACATTTAATTCTGAAAGTACAACTGACTATTCAACAATGTGGGTTTGAACTGCATGGGTCCACTTATGCTTAGAATTTTTTCAGTTGGCCTGCTCAGTTTAAATGTCCACAGTTCAAACCGCTGTTGTTGAAGGGTCAACTGGAGGTTGGGGGTCTGTGTATGTGCAGTGCCCATTTGAGTTACATGCATTTTTTCTTTTTTAAAGATTTTATTTATTTTTAGAGAGTGGAAAGGACAGAGAAATGGAAAGAAACATTGATGTGAGAGAGAAACATCAATCAGTTACTTCTAGTATATGCCCCAACGGGGGACCAAACCTACAACCCAGGGATGTGCCCTGACTGGAATCAAACCTGGCAACCTTTTGCTTTGAAGAATGATGACCAACCGATCAGGACTACATGCATTTTTTCTTGCTGTCCCAACCTCCATGTTATTATTCAAGGGTCAACTCGAATGGCATTTAAATGTATATCCAAAGTGTTTCTTTATGACTAGAGCCTAGTTACATGGCACCTAAAATAAAACTTAAATAACAAAATATTCTACAAATTCACATAATTGTGTTTTCTCTAGTCTTTTCCTTATAAAGTTCCACAAATTTAAAAAATGCTAAGTTTATCCCTTACCATTCCAGACCTAAAAATGAAGAGGCTGGGATAGCTGTTCACTCCCTTCATTCGGCAAAGCCTTCTATCATCACCACAATTAACAGCTCCAATTCGAAGTAATCCATCCACTTCTTTAGCAAAGTCTCTCCACTATGAGAGGGAGAGGAAAAAAAGAAAACAGGTATTTCTCTGATAAGTCCATTTTTCTTGCCTCGAACACTCTCCAAACTATATATTCTTAAAGGAGACTATATTAGCAAATAAAAACCATAAATACAGGAAAATGTAAAATTATCTTACATTGCTATTAATAGAAAAACTCCAAGATAGTAAAGATCTCAAATAACAGATCAGTTAGAAATAATAAAACTTTAATAACCAGGATGTAAAGAATACATACTGTGGGAGCTAAATCATGGCAGTGTGAACATCCTGGGGAGTAAAAGTTCACAAACCACAGTTCTCCAGAATTAATAGCAGCATCTAAAAGAACATGAAACCGAGACAACTTAGAACTATTTACTAAAGGTTTGTCATATTTTGGTTAAAAAACTTTTGTTGAGATCGGAAAGAAAAAAAGTTATACATCTTTCATACAGCCTTTATCAATCATTTTTGTACACTTTTTCTATAAGAAAACATTTCAACTGTCAAATACCTTTTAAAAACTTTCTGAAGCTCATACTTGAACTGCTTAATACAATCACCAGGAAGCTGTAGAAAGGAAGCAAAAGCCAAACCTCGCAAAGTTTGTGTAGATGAGAGAAATGAAGAGAAACAGCACGAGAGATGGAGATTTAAGGTCTTCTACTATGGACAACATAGGTTAAACACATGGTCAATAATTTTGACAGCTACATCAAATACTGAAAGAATGAAATAAGAGACCTATACGGTATTAGTAAGGACTCTGGGATTCAATTTAATCTTTGCCCTTAAGACATTTACAGTGATAAACTGGGTTATTTGAAAATTATTAGAGATTTTTTACAATTCAAAACATAAATACACACTTGGTAAAATAATAGCTCTGAATATCATGTAATGTCTAGCCAACAACACATTATATATTATAACCTATAAGATGACCTGGTGCAAGTCAACACAACTTACTCATTTAAAAACTTTAACATTGTAAGGATATGCTCCAACATTTAAGACAAAAAGATGAAGACATCTGCTTTTGGTTAAAGTTTCCATGTAATTCCACATTAAAATTAGTTAATTTTTAAATAAAATTTTTATAGGTTACAGTAAGTATAGTAAGACATGAAAATGTGCATACTATTCTAAGCATGTGTAATTGATTCAGGTTCATTTGTGACAGGTGTAGGACTCAATACTCACCTACATTTCAATTATAAGACACACAAACCTATAGGAAGAACAGTTAACCTACATATTATTAAGTGTATACTTAGGATTTTATCTGCTGTTCTTTGGCAATGTTTAGAAAGTCTGGCAAATAGGCAACTCGAAACAGGTGGTCGAAATAATTGCCACATTGACTTAGACCACTACCTGGTACTAATTTAGGTAAAATCTTAATAGACAGTGCAAACTTTAATAGAAATGGGACATTTCATTAGTTATAAACAAGTAATGCGGTGGTTATTTACAAATGAAAAGAGCAGTACTTAGATATGGTATTGCTGTTTGTAAATCTTAATACAATGGACAACAAACCTGAATGGCATCTAAATTGACACAAAACCTTGTTTGCAGTAAATATATCTCCTATCTTGGTACTTTGATTTCATACAGATCTTAACATCTTCACTCATTTCCCACTATTGTGGAATAATAAGGTTAAAATATTCTTAGTATTGTTAAAATGTTTTAAATATTGTATTATCAAATATCAATGGGATGTTTTTTTGCATAACCTATTGACCAAGAATACAACAAATATGTTTCAAAATGCAACCTTTTGGCTTCTACACAACTACACATTAAGTGAAATTTTATGATATTTGCCTTTCTATTTCACTTAGCACAGTACCCCTTAAGTCCATTCATATTGTTGCAAACCGTAAGACTTCATTCTTTTATGGCTGAGTACTAAATACTCCATTGAATATGACGAAGGACCCAAGAGAACGTGCAATTTATTAAAAAATTGTGTATTTATTCTTATATGTCTAAACTTCAGTCACCTTCAAAGTACTCTCCTTTTGGTGCAATACACCTATTGAGATGTTTTTCCCACTGCTCAGAACAGATTTTGAATTTGTCAATGTTGATGCCTTTTAGTGCTTCTGCTGTTTTATTGTCTCACCTCTTCCACATTGGCAAAACATGTCCCTTGGACGACCTTTTTTCTTCCGGGGAAACGAACAAACAAACAAGTTGCTTCAGGCAAGATCAACTGAATAGGGAGGGCATGGCACAGAAGTCATGCCAAACTGCTGACCACTCAGCACGGTGTGAGCCAGTGAGGTTGTAAATCAGCCATCATGAAATGGGCAAGTGCACTGAGTCTTCCAAAAGAATTTACTGAAGTTGCAGTCTCTCCCACGACCACCAACTTGTACACTGATACAGGTGGGTTCCTAGAACACTCACCTAGCTGGGGAAGCCTATACTACAAGCGGGCTGTCCTCCAGAAGATAGTTTGTTTTTTTTTTTTTGCGGGGTTGAGGGAAGTCCCCCTCTGTGTATGTACCACATCTTTATCCATTTGGTTTTTTTGATTGGAGCATTTAATCCATTTACAGTTAAAGTAGTTAGTGACAGGTATGTAGTTATTGCCATTTTTTTTATTGTTTTTATAGTTCTTCTCTTCCTTTCTTATTCTCTTGCTCTCTTCCTTGTTTGTTGATGACTTCTGTAGTGTTGTTTGGATTCCTTTCTCTTTACTTCGTGTGCATCTCTTTAGATTTTTGGTCTGTGGTTACCATGTATTTCATATATACCAAGCTACATTTATAAAAGTCTATTTTAAGTTGGTGGTCGCTTAAGTTCAAACACATTCTATAATCATTACCATTTTTTGCTCATCCCCTCCACATTCATGCTTTTATTTTTTACTTCTTTTGTGCTGTTTGTGTATATCCCTTAATTTACTGTTGTAATTACACATGATTTTCCTACTTTTGCCTTTTAATCTTTTGTACTAGCTTTAGTGTTGATGTGTTTGCCTTTGTAAGAATTTTTTTCCTTTGAGATATGTTCTTTTTCATAGTTTCGATTTTTTTTCCTTCTTCTTAAAGAACTCCCTTTAACATTTCTTGAGAAACTGGTTTGTTAGTGATGTATTCATTCAGCTTTACCTCTCCTTCAATTATAAATGACAGCAATACTGAATAATCTTGGTTGTAGGTCCTTGCTTCTCATCACTGAGCATTTTATGCCAATCCCTTCTGAATTGCAAAGTGCCTGTTGAGAAATTAGCTGACAGTCTTATGGGAATTCACTTGCAGGTAACTAACTGCTATTCTCTTGATGCTTTTAAGATTCTTTCTTTAACCACTGGCATTTTAATTATGTCTTGATGTGGGTCTTCTAGGGGTTCATCTTGTTTTGGACTCTCTGCTTCCAGGATTTGTATGTCTATTTCCTTTGGCAGGTTAGGGAAGTTTCTAGCTGTTATTTCTTCAAATAGGTTTTCAACCCTTTGTTCTTTCTCTTTTTCTGGTACCCCAATGATGAGAATGTTATTATACCTGATGTTGTCCCAGAGGTCTCATAAATTATCCTTTATATTTTTTCATGTTCCGACTGGGTATTTTCTGCTATCTTGTTTTCCAAATTGCTGATTCAATTCTCTGCTTCATGTAATGTGCTCTAGACTCCATCTAATGTAGTCTTCATTTCTGAGTGGTTCTTTTTTGTTTTCTATCTTCTATGTTCCTTTTTTGTTCTTACTGACATCACCTATTCTTCCTCTAGTTCACTGAATATCTTTATAATTAGTGTATATAATCTGATAGATTGCTTGACTCCATTTTGTTTAGTTCTTTTTCTGGAGTTTTGTCCTGTTCTTTCATTTGGGACGTTTCTTTGTCTCCTCATTTTGGCTCTCTCCCTGTGGTTGTTTCTTTGTATTAGGTAGACCTGCTAGGTCTACCAGTTTTGGCAGGATGGCCTTATGTAGCAGGTGTCCTGTGGGGTCCAGTGGTGTAGTCTCCCTGTTCATCTGTGCCAAGGGCTCCAGGGGTATCCCTGGGTTGTGTGTGTTCTCCTGTTATAGTTGAGCCTTGATTACTGTTTGCATGCCATTGGGTGGGATTGATCCTCAGGCTCACTGGCTGTGAGTTCTGGTTGTGACTATTAGCAGAGAAGCTGTTGCGCAGGGGCTGACCTCACTGAGTGGGATTTGCTTTAGCAGGATTCTGGTGCCTGCTGAGTTTACCATTTGAGTGCATCTTTTATGGTATTAATTGGGTGATGCTCTGGTGTAGTCTAAAGCAGGCCACCAGGTTTGTTGGTTGGGGGGTTTTTGGAGAGGGGCTCCAATCAGGCCAAGGTCAGCCACTGCATGTATCTGGCTTGGAACCACCTGGCAGGTGGTAGGAGCTACAAAGTGATCTGCAGTTGGTAACTGCCTGTGTTGAGCCTGGAGGTGCCCAGGAGTAATTATTCAGTGAACCAAGGCTTGCTGCCACTAATGCTGGGCTTAGAGCCTCTTAGCAAGATGTACATAGCATGCTGAGGGCAGCCATTGCATGTGTGGAGTTTGTGGATCTTTGATAGATTTTAGGAAAGTCAGTCCTGTGGGCCCAGACCTGCTGCATGTGTGGATGAGCGTCTGAAAGTTTGGGCCTGGCACATGAATTGAGCAGGGCAGGATTTCAGAGAATGATGAGCGTAGGGCAATGGTGTTAGCCATGTTAAGGAAGACTTAGGTTTAGTGCTTGCCTGTGCCTGCAGGCTGTGTTGGAGGGCTTCAAAAGAGAGCAATGGTGCCTGGCAGCGCTTTAGTCCAGGAGAGGTACAATTCCTGCTGATTTTCACAAACAGCTGGTAGAGGGCCTCTTCTTCTGGCACTGGAGCCCTGGGTTGGGGAGCCCAGTGTGAGGCTGGAACTCCTTACTCCTTAGAGGGGACTTCTGCAGCCACAATATCCCTCCCTATTCTTAATCACCACGTGCGGGTATAGTGCTAGCCTCTCCTCCCCTCTTACGAGTCTCAATGTGGCTTCTTCATAGCCTTAATTATAGGGCTATTCTTCAGGTGGTTCTCAAGGGTGCTGGTTCTATAATTTAACTGTAATGTTGATATGGTTGTGGGAGGAGACAAACAAAACCTTTAGCTACTCTGCCATCTTGAAACAAAGTGATGAGAATATTTTTAAGGTTTTCAAAGTGGAGTTTATTAATCACATTTTCTCTTCTATACTACCATTGAACATTTTACAGTTCCACTCCTGATAAAAGTAAACTATGTAATTTGGACTAACTCTTCCACTACAACTACAGATCCGAACAAAATAGAGAAGATTTCTGTCGAAAGCATCAGAGTTACCAAAGTAGTGAAGAATAAGGGGGCCAGGCTATGGGAGGAGGCAGAGATCAGAGGGCCAACACCGGCTACCTCTAGAAGAGGAAGCTGATGTGTAAGAAACTGAACAGAACTTTCAACAGATTCATGAGGCTGGAGAGACAAAAATGGGAGTTCAGAGCTCATGTTAGGAAGGGTCTTGTAAATAAAGATGAACTGGAAAAGAAAGACTAGTCCTCTTAAAATCCAAAGCTCAGCTTCTATATCATTTCACTCTGTTTAGTAAAAGCTGACCTCAGATTGTTAGTGACCCTAGCGAGAAGAAATATAACTCCTCTCTAGAGGAAGAGAACATATATAACTTTAAAATAACTTCATAATTATTTATATAATTAGATAAACAAAAGATAAAACTAAGCAACCCAATCCAATAGAAACAACCAGGAATGAAAAGAGACCCAAACCAAGTAGACAAATGTGTTATTTACAGAAGTACAAATTGATAATCCTATCATTCTTGCTATTTTCCCTTGGCAGCTTCAACTAAAACTTCAGCCTCAGTTTGTCTTAGTACAGTACCGTATTTTGCTGTGTATAATGCACTCCAATGTATAATGCACACCCATGTTTTTGGTTCAAATTTTTAGGAAAAAAAGTCTTTCATTTTAATTTTTAAATTCAATTATTTATTTAGACTTAGAAACAAAACCAATTATCGTATTCCAGGGTTTTATTTTGCATACGGATATTGTTATTGCTTTCTAGAGTTACACTTTTAATGCATCAGAATAAATAAAAGAATCAAAACATTTATATAGATATGGAATTAGTACTACCCATATATAATGCGCATCCTTATTTTTCCTTAAAAAATGTGGGCAAAACACTGCACATTATGCACAGTAAAATACGGTAATATGAAGAGTAGTATTAGAGATACCAGACAGAATGGTGGCAACTTTGTTTTCTTCCAACTTTTATCTTCTATGCTTATGTGTGCATAACATTTGCAAGATTTGTATTATACTGAATATACAATTTTGTTTTAGGTTTTTTTCATTAAACATACTCTAAAATGTTGTAAAAACCTTTTACTAATTTGGAAAACCCTTATATAGAACAAAGAATGATACTGTTTCATTATAATTTCAAATTTGTCAGTCTTGCACAAACACACATGCATAGAATGTTGAGGGTGTTGCTTAGTTAGCCCTTCCAAGACTTCATTTCCTTGCCTGTAAAAGGTCAGGAATAATTGTAATAATGACTGCACAGGGAAGTCATTAAAGTTCATTAAGACAATGGAAGAAAAGCTGATGATAGTAAAATAAACTACGTGAAAATCTTACTTATGGTTATAGGACCTTTTAAAATATGTAGTATGTATCAGATGACCTTGCAAGAATAAAAAAAAACAACAAAAAACCAAAAACCCCTCTAAATTCTAAATACAACTGTCCTCAAGGATTTTAGATAAGATTTTGGTTTTGGACTAGTTTTAGAAAATTGTATGCCCATAAACTTACCAAATTCTCTTCTATCCAATGTTATGATTTCCGGATCATCATCATAAATACCTAATTTTAAAAGTATAAAAATTATAAAATTAAAACTTCATCATAAATTTCTACATAAAAATAGGTTACTTAACTCTTGTTTTAATCATCAAAAATCAGATTACTATACTAAATATCAAATCTGAAAAATATGCAACAACTGAGAGAAAAGCCAAGAGTACACAAAACCATTGGTCATAGAAAGTGGTCAAGATGTTAGTTTTCTGATATGGATTGTCAAAAGGTGTGTTCATGGGGTTCCTAAAATTCACATAATTTTATCTCCTCAGAAAATTTCTATTTTTTTTTAACTTTTATTTTTGAAATAATTATAGACTAACAGGAAGTTGTAAAAATAGTACATACTCTATGTATCTTTTACCCAGCTTCCTCTAATGATGACATGGTGAACAATTTTAGTACAATACCCAAACCAGTAAATTGGCACTGGTACATTACTGTTAACTAGACTATAGATCTCATTTACTTTTCAATTATATGTTTTTATAAGTGGTATCACTTAAAATTATATTCTTTAACTAACTGTCTTATAATGAAAATATTTAGAGTTAGGGACAAACTTATTAAGTAAATGTAAGTTTTATTTACCATCATAATTAAAACCAATGTGACAAAATTTCTCATTACTATTATAAAATATCAAAATAATATTAGTGATAGATATAGATCAAGGGTGAGCAAACTTTTTCTGTAGAGGCCAGTTAGTAAATATTTCAGGCTTTGTGGGACATACAGTTTTTGTCACAACTACTCAATGCTAACACTGAAGTGTGAAAGAAGCCATAGAAAATATGTAAATAAGTAAACATAACTATACGGACATACTTCAGAAATATTGGGGGTTTGGTTCCAGAGCATTGCAATAAAGACACTATCATAATAAAGCATGTTGTAATCTTTTTCTTGGTGGAGCGTCTTGCTTCCAATTTGTAATTCCCAATAAAATGTGATTTTGGAATCCCAGTAAAATGAGGTATGCCTATATCCAATAAAACTACAAAAACAGGTGGCAGGCCAATTCAGACTGTGCAATATAGATTGCTGACACCTAACACAAATTATCATGCTGCAGTGAATATACCTGAAAATAACACTTTGAAAACAAAGTCTTGAGAAACAAACACAATAACTATAAATTGAAAATATTTTATTTAGTCTACTATAAAAGCATACTTCAGTTTTTCGCCTGCATTTGGGGTTAATTAATCATTTAAGAGAGAATTATTGGATACCTGAATGATCCCTCTTGCTTTGATACCTGTATGTACTTTCTCCGTCCCTGATTTCTTTAACTTGTTTACTCTCTCTGTTCTTACCTCATTTCTTGTTGCTGTCAACACTGTTAAACCATTATTAAAGGTGGCATTTCTACTGAAGTGACCACTATTAAACCTAGAGAAACTTGAGCCTTTCTTGGAAAATACAATTCTCTAAAAACCTTAAAGTCTTCAGTATTTAACTTCTAATGCAAATATTTTTAAGTTAAATTACAATCCTTATTTTAAAAGTATTTAACAAGATTATGACCCAAACACCTTCATATCTGTGCAGATAATAGCTACCACCTGACTTTTCTTTTGAATTTCACTTTCACATTACATGAAAGAGTCAAGGTAATACATTAACTACAATAAACTAAGTGGTGAAACAAAATTAATTTTCTAAATTTACTCAAGTAAAAAAACAAGAATTTCGTAAGGAATATTGTATCATCTTACCAAAATCGTAACGATAATAATTCCAGCTTTCATACCGGCCTCCTTCTTGATTATCTGCAAGTCCCTTTTCTCCATATTTGTCATACTTTTTCCTCAGATCTTCATCTTTGAGTACTTCATATGCTCTATTTATTTTTAAAAAGTCACTATGTGCATTTGGGTTATTCTATTGAAAAATATTAGATATAACATTTGTTTCAGATACACAATCAATTCTCTTCAGAACCTGCATCTAGATTTAATTTAATCCTGAGATTTCTGGGAGAGTAGATATCAAGGTAAGGAGGAGCAATACAACATGAAGTTGGTTATCATGGGTTGAAATAAAAAAAGGATTTTTAAAGATCTACAATCGAAAAAATAAGAAAAGTAAAAGAGAAATGAGAACGGATGCCTCAAAACACTGATACATGTGGTTCTACAATGTAAGTCGTTCCTTTTAAGAAATGCAACAGAGAAAAAACTGACTAACAAACCCTTGGACACGCTTAATATTGTTAAGCATTATTTGTTACCCCTAAAACAATTACAAAGAAATTTGAGGGTTATTTTTCTTTTTGAGATTAAAGTAATATATTAACTAAAAAAGTATGTGCCCCACCCTGGTCAGTGTGCCTCAGCTAGATGGAGCACCATCCTATAAACCAAAAGGTTGAGAGTTTGATCCCTGCATAGACCGCTGGTTCAGTCCCTGGCTGGGGCATGTGCAAAAGGCAACTGACTGATGCTTTTCTCTCTCCCTCTACCTTCCTTCCCCTTTCTTTCTAAAATCAGTAAGTATGTGCTTGGTTGTGCATTAAAAAAAAAAGTTTGTGCCCCAATTCATTAGATAATAAAAACTAGTATCAGAGAAACAACTAAAATTGGATTGGAAATATTCCTTATTTTTTATTACTTCAAATAATTAGTTTTTAAACAATGCTTTCATCTAAATAATAGTTGTAGAAGGTATACCACTTTTCATATGGAAAATTTTTAAAAATCACATTCTGAAATTTTGAGAAAAATATAAAAATAAAATACCTAAAAACAGCAGAATACAGATTCAAGAGAAAGATTACCAAGTTTTAGAAAAATATTGAATCCAGTGCTCAGTTTTATGCAATCAAAATGAAATAATCCTATTTTTAAAACTCTACCTAGAAAATAGAAAATTATAACCATATCTTTCTCCTTGACAAGTGTCAAATCTCAGGAAAAAATCAGAGATTTATAAAAATACCATAAGAATTAAAACTTAGTTTTGAAAGACTGCATTATGATACACAATAAAAAAATCATGATTGAAATTAACTTGATTTGGCCGTTCTCAAGCTTTATTTATAACACTTCCTGACTCTGGTCTTAGACTTGTGCATTGGAGAAAATAGTGAAAGTTGAAGAATGCTATTATTAGCATGATATTACTGCCATTTTTAGCCAGACATATTAAGTTCTAAGGAAATATGTATTTTTTTACTGCTCTAAAATACTTGATTTTAACCTCCCTGACTAAGAACACCACTTCACAGACATTGCCTGCTTTGGGACTGATATCTGTAATAGAACTGTGGGAACTTAGTTTTCAAATTAAGAGAGAATTGCATATTTGATACTGACATTCCATTACACTGTTTTAAACAAGAACTGTGGTCTGTTTTTAGTACATTAAGTTGAATTGCGATTTTTGACATGTGATTGTTCTTAAGCATTTTGAGCACTTATTTAAAATAAATTAAGTAGATATCAAAAGTTACCAAAATACGTTAATCAGATATGTTTAAAAAGAAATTTTTACCTACCGGGTTTTTATCAGGATGAAGTTTCAATGCCAGCTTCTTGAAAGCTTGTCGTATTTCTCTACTGCTTGCAGTTTTGGATACACCAAGTAAACTGTAAAAATCCTGGTCTGTGTCCACTAAAATAGCCATATACACTATTAGAAAACAGAGAATGACCTTTCTCAAGTCTTTGACATAGTCATCTTTATTTAACCAGATTCCCATTTTTTTTTCCTTATACGAGTGCTGATTTAAGTGAACATTAAGATACACCGCTGGTTCCAGTTGATGTAACCTGCAAGACTGAGGAGGTCTGTCCAATTACTCCAAGGGTGACTCAAGCATCATAACATTGTCTCCCAACTGTTAATCTAAAGAGAAGAAACCAAGCAGTTAAAATACACTTAAAAAACCCTTCAAAACCCAACAATAAAACTATTAAATAATATGGTTAGCAGTACAATCTCCATTAAATACCAAATGTGGGTGAGTGCCCAGGCCCTGTTTTTTGGGGGCCCCTTTCGCTGCTTCCATATCCAGATACCCAGTTTTGTGAAATCACTCGCTAGGTTAAAACTTAGCTAGAACTATTAAAAAACAAACTCAGCAATTTACTGATCGGCACCAGAACATAAGGGGGAGGGCCAGAGCGGGGAGTGAGATATGGGGGAGAATGAATCGTTTCCTTCCTTTTTCTACCCAGTTTAAGCATTGCCCTTTTGTAATACTCCTTCCTTCTGGGCTACTTCTTCACCCCTTTGACACTATTCAATTTTCATTTTAATCGGATTTCACTTGTAGGAAATATCCTTTGGTGGTTGGGGGGGGGGCGGGTAGCTAGAAGGAAACACAGGGGCCTTCCAAAGGTCTGTATTTTTCATCTAGCCCTTCCAAAAATGGCAGTGAATTGTTACCGTTTTAATAGACAACTTACATAGGAGGCCCCTTTTTCCCGGAATTTTCTCAGAAGATGCTCACATTACATCTAAGTAGACACTATTTTATAAAAATAGAAGAATAACTGTAAACTAACAATATAACTATTGCACATTTACATTTGGTAGAAATACAAATATAAAAAGAAAAAAGGAGACAGGAATCAGTTACTTTGATATGCTCACCTGGGTAGGGGAAAAAAAATAAGATCAGACCGCATTTAAACTTGTATACTTTACTTCCAAAGATCTCATAATGCTTGGGAAAAAACTAACCTTCCTAGCATCCTCAGGTTCTTTCTTCCTTTAATCCTAAATGTCCATTCAAATTTTTTTTGTCCTTACCTGTTAATGGTCTTGGGCTCATTTCTAATCCCTTCTTTACATGCTACTAAAAATACCTTTGTAAAATACAGTGATGGATATTAACAAATATCCAGACCAGAAAAAGATTAGGAAAAAATAGAGAACATATTCTTAAACACCACTTTGGGTCAAGTGGTGTTCCCCGCCTAGCAGTTCTCAGCATGGGTGTGAATGACTTGCTCTGTTCCGAGCTGCGGGGACAGGTGGAAACTGCAGGTAAGTGCAATGAGAACACCTCTTGCAGCCATCACTCTAAAACGGGATGCGGGGAGAGGGAAAAGATGGAGATACTGGGCTACGGAGACGGTCAGATTTTCCTGGTGTGTAAAGTCTCAGGACGGGGGGTGGGGGGAGGGAAGGAGCCCTAATAACTGAAGCTAAAGTGAGGAAATGAATGTAGAAGTGGGGAACCGCCGGCGTGAAGAAAAGTAATAGCGAGGAAGACGGGGAGCGAGAACGCAGTAAGCCGGCCACCGAGCGCAGAGGGTTCAAATCCAGGCACAAGGCAGTTCCGCCCTCCCTTCAAAGAGGGCCCGGGGAGGCGCCGGTTCCAGCAGGGTCCCGGCCCATGCCCACCTCAGTGTTGCGGGGTCGCCACCAGCAGCCACTCCCCCATCTTCATTCTCCCACCGCTGACCCTACCCGGCCAAGCGCAGGTGTGCGTGTGGGAAGGAAACACGCTCTCTCCGAAAGCCGGTCCCCGCGCTCGGAACGGGGAAGGTTAAGCGGTCCCGGCTGTAGCGAGCGCGGCTCCTTGAGCCCGGCCTCCCGGACGAGACGGGGCGGAGCCTGGCGCGGGGCACTGTGGGAAAGGCGTGGATAGCTCGGCCTGGGAGGACCGGTCGCGGGCTTGGTGTGCGCGGCGGCCGGGTAGGGAGGGCGGTGTAGGTTTAGGTTGACGTGGCGGTTGGCGCGGAATCCGTGTCCGGTTTCAACCCGGAGCTAAGCGATATGCTATAATAACCGCAAAGTCCGCGCCCTAAGTAGGGGACCGGCGCACGCGGCAGCCGGATGCAGGACAAGGAAGCCCGCCCCTTCCTGCCCCCGTTGCTATGGTGATGGGGAAACCTGTGGGAGCGCGTTTCGGCCTGCGATTTTCCTGTGATTTTGTTCTTAAAGGGAAGGCAGGGCTACCGAGGATTTTTCTGCTGGGTGGGTAGGGCAGAAAAGGGAAATTCTGTGAGACAAGGAAAGCTCGACTGACGTGACATTGTTTTCAGTGTCAAAATATAGGGTTCCTTTCCAGAATGATATTTTGATAACAAGATCTAGGTGTTAGGCAGGTTTTGGCATGTTATTAACGCCCATGCCTTCTCAGGGGATGGAGATAGAGAAGAATGTACACACACACACTCACACATACACAGGATAATATTTACATATATATGAAACTATACGTTTACACTAAAACTTCTAATTCCAATATAGAGCCGCAGGAGTCATTCCATTCATTCCAATTTTCTCCTTTCCACAGGTATAGCTCCTGTCCCTGACTATAAGAAACCTGGTTCCCATCATCCTTGCTATGTATGTACTTAACTTTCCATTTTCCCATATGTAACCAATCTCCCATTGCTGATGCTAGCCCAGCCCTCTCGTGTGCAGTTGCTCTCTTCATCCTGCTTGGGTTCCCACACTTTATACTGGACCACTCTCCGCAGCACATGCTCAGCTACTTGGCAAAGGTTTCAACCTATGCCAGGCTGCCCTCGCACAGGGACACCTGAAAGGGCTCCAATGTGCAGTTGCTCACCACCCGCATCCCTCTACCTCTGCCCAAGGTGGATGCACTCCTCCCCTTGGCTGGACTCTGACACTGAGCCCACCTCAGCTAATGGCTTGTGGTCTGAATTATTCAGGATGGGGGAGAGGCATGATTATTTTTTTTAAAATAATCATTTGAACTAGAGTTTGAAGAATGTGTTGTAGGAGGGCAGTAGTAAATATAGGAAAACGGCCAATGAGACTATTGTAACGGACCAGGCAATAGATAATGGTGGCTTGGCCCAGGGTGGGGTTAATTTATACAGAGAGAAATAAACAGATTCAAGAAAAAGGAGGTAATATGTATAGGATTTAGTAATGAATTGGTGATGTGAGGAAGAGAAAGATATTTGAAGGCACATCTCTCCTTCGGATAATGGACATCCGGGATGCCCACTTGCTTCAGGGAAACCAAAGCCTTGCCAGCCTAAATGTAATCAAAACTTGTTACAACCACTCCATCACATATGCATGAAATATGTTACAACAAAGTGACCATTGTGTTTCATTTTTAGTTCTAGCTGTAAAATTGCTACTCATCTTTCAAGACCCCGTTCATGTTTCTTCTGAAAAATTTTCTGTGAGCCATTCAAGCCTATGTAATCACTCCATCTTTTACCCTTGCACTAATCACACCATATTGTAAACATATTTCATTGGCTGGCTTACTATAATGAATTCTTTGAGATCAGGAATTGAATTTTTTTCCTGTTTACTTTGTAATCCACTAAATATTGAATACATCAAAGATCTGCTTCAAAGAACAATGGTACAATGAGAACTTTTTTCCTGTGAAGACACTTTGGTACATTTAAAACACATGCCTTTGGAGACTTCTGGTCAAGAAATAGCAGATTAGGTAAATGTGGAACTAGCCTCCTCCTGCAACCATGTCAAGGTTACAACTAAACTACAGAACAACGCTCATTCAGGACTGCCTAAGAACTAGCTGAATAGAAGCTCTGCAACTAGGGAATTAAAGAAGAAGTCACATTGAGACTGGTAAGAGGGGCAGAGACATGGAAGAGGCTGTTTCCACACCCACATGTGGCAGATAAAAATTGGGAGGGGTATATCAGCTGCAGACATCCTCTTTGAGGAGTGAGGGGTCCAAGCCCCACACCAGGCCTCCCCCCCCAGGGTTCCAGTGCAGGGAGGAGAAGTCCTCATAACTTCTCACTATAAAAACCAGGGGAATTGAGGTTGAGGGAGATGGAGGTCTTCTGGAGTCCCAGGTAGTTATTCTTTAAAAAAAAATTTTTTTTAATGTATTGATTTGAGAGAAAGAGATCAATTTGTTATTTCACTTATTTATGTATTCTTTCATTGATTCTTGTATGTGCCCTGACTGGGAAATTGAACCCGTGACCTTGACATATCAGGATCTGTCTAACCAACTGAGCTACCTGGCCAGGGCTCCAGGTAGTTCCCCTTAAAGAGCCAGCACAGACTCAATTGGACTCACTTCCTCTGAGCTCCCGCACTGGGGCAGCAGCTTGAAAGACACCAGAAGCATATGGGGAGGAACTAAATTGTCCACCATCAGGGAGAGAGCCAGGGTGGGGAGCATTTTTCTCCCAGATCGAAGTGCTGGCAAAGGCCATTGTCCCTTTGATGAACCCTCCCCTTCAGAAGTCAAATTTTATTTACTTCTTTTCCTCAATGCCTACCTAGAACAGTACTTGGTATCTACTCAATACATGTATTATGATGGAATAAAGAATTAATATTTATTATGTTTAGAGAAGAAAGAATAGCCATTTACTCCTAAAGTCCTTATTGTCTGGCCTCGGGGAGGGGCATGGAAAACACACACACTCACATGTAGTGATATCATGTTGAATGAGTGATTTAAACAACATGCTGCATCGGGACTCAATTTTGGGCTTAAGTGCTAAAAGAAGAATGAGAGGAAAGTATGGGAGTTTCTAAAAAAAAAAAGAATTCCTTAACAGATTTGGAATTATTGTAGAACCAGGTAGAAACTTTAAAGTCCCTTAAATCCATAGGGGAGAAAATCAAGGCCCAGGAAGTTTGATGAGTGTGACTTGCCTAAAGATACTCAAATGTAAACAGTTGAAATGGAATATAACCTGTTTTCTTAGCTATTAGGAAATGATAATCATAATCATAATAACTAAAATTAACATATGCTTTATATTTCCAGGCACTATATCAAGCATGTTACTTATATTAACATATTCAATTGTCATAACAACTCTATGAAGTGCATTTATTATGTCAATTTTACAGATGAGGTAACAGGCTAAGAGAGGTAAAGCTACTAGCCCAATGTTGCACAGTTAGTAATGGTAAAATTTGGATTCCAGCCTGGGCAATCTAGAGATGGAGTCCATAAGGAACACCTCAATCAGTTCATTGAAATATTTTTGACAGCATTTATTTAAGCTAAGATAGATGTTATTTTCATAGTTTTTTTTGTTTTTTTTTTTACAATAACATAATAACCTATCACAAGAGCTAGACTTGAGGGGTGGGGAGGTAAATTGTAATACTTTATTAGACAAAACCTAATTTGTGAAGACAAATTGGTTGATGTCTTAAAAATCACCTACAGCACTGACTAGTGGAATTGCCATTCAACATATGTGTTAAGTTCAGTTGAATTTGCAATTGTTTATAAGTAATTTTATATTTTTACTTCCAATAAGCAGGTCAACCGCTAGCTGTAACTGACCTTTCTTTTGTGCTTATTTCCTTACATTCAATTATTTTTACACTATATTTTGTTTAAAATGTTATGTGGTAATTAAACACAAACTAACAAAACTCAAAATCATGCAGACATAGTAATGTATACACACAAATACATGTGTATGTACATGTAAATATGTATATATATTTTGTATACATTGTCTTTTCTTGGCACTAATTCCTAAATAAATACTTGCTTAGATGAATTGGTAGTAAACAACAAGCAAATATGGGTTGACAGCCCTAGTGAAATACTTTTTTTCCCCATTTTACCTGATAAACAACAGAAGACCAGGAGATCAGATTATAAATTGATGAAATGTGCCTGCAAATGTACCCACCTCCCAAATCTTTACAGGTAACAGAGAAATTTATTTTTTGAAAAATAAATTCACATCATTGTTGCAGAAAAACAAGGGCCCTCAATGGACCAGAAATTTTGAGGAAACTCTGAAATGTGGAAGACAAAGTTTTGAATTGACATAAGAAATCACTGAGCAAAGCACAAAGAAGGATGTTACAAAATGTGGGAATGGCTCTGGGTGGTATTAACAAAAGCACGGAATGACACAGGAATGAGGGAGTTGGCGCTGTTGGTTGGTAGAGGCACTGCATTTAGAGTAACTATACAGGTTGACCTCTGTGTCTGGTGTTCCTAAAATCATCCCCAGATTTGATGATTTATTAGAATGACCCATCTGACTAAGCATATAATTGTACTGATAGCTAAGATTTATTACAGCAAGAAAATACAAAGCAAAGTCAACAAAGGGAAAAGGCACGTGGACGAAATCTGGAGGAAATCAAGAGGAAGCTTCTAAGCATCCTATCCCAGTGTAGTCACAGAGGAAACACCGCTAATTGTTGGAACTGTAACAATATGTGCAAAGGTTGTGTACAAGCAAAGCTCATTAGGGACCAAGGGACTAAGGTTTTTACTCAGAGCTGGACATGTAGGTATTTCTCTGCTTGGCAGACACCAAAATTCTAGACTCCTAGAAGAAAATTACATGGTTAGCACAAATAACATTGTTTTTAGAGTTCAGGCACAGTGAGCCATTCTTGTCATTCAAGAACTTTTTTTTTTTTTTTGACAGAGCCAATAGATCCAATAAATAGAAGATCTATGCATTATGGAAAAAACTTTAAATGTGTATGTTGAAAATATGCAAAGGAATAAATCATGGGGAAAGTTTAGAATAAAGCTGTCTGAGACATTCCTTGCTGGCTGTCCTTTCTCAGGGAGGAAGTGGGCCTTTTACTGAGCTCCATGGAAATCAGCTACAGCTGAATGTTTAAGGATCCCAATGCTGGTAGAATTCTGAGGTGATAGATTAAG